CATACAGCCTGGCAACATGCAGGGCTCATTTGACCACAGTCGGCCTTTTATATACTCTCTGCAGGGGTAATGGACAGTGAACAAACATTGGATTTTGACTTGTGCTGTTTGTTGACTTCTGATGAGTTATTTTTGGTCAGAAGAATTACGAAAAGCAGTACAGTAAACATAGAAAAGTACAAGAAAAGAAACAAGATTCATATTTAAATTGAAGTCAAGCAAGAATTGACTCAGTAACACTAGTTCTCAAAACTAGAATCCTCTTCTATCTGTAGATGAATGTGAGCGTGAAAGGGTGAATGTGGCATTAGTGTGAAGCAGCATTTTTTGTATTTCCTCTTGACATATCGTAATCCCTTCAGATTTTTAAATTAACTTTTTACAATTGTTATTTAAATTCCTAATGAAAATTCAACATTTTTGAGTGATAGATCAGTTCAAAGGTATTTATCAGTTTCAATTAGATAAGCTTTATTTAAACTTCTTCTCCTTTTTTTTTTATCCTTTCTTAATTATGTATAATGCCATGTCCTCCTTTCAAACGTTTTTATGCCTGATTTGTGCCAATGTGTAATCTCAATTCCTACTTCTGGGCGCTGAGAGAGTTGCAGCAGCTCCGACTCACTTTTTCCTTATTTGTTCTTGACTTGCCATTCACTGCACATAATTCTTAGTAGTCCTGTATAGTTCACCTCACTATTTATATTCTTCTATATATACCTCCTATTGTTATTTGTATTTGTATTCATATTACCTATTCTGTGAATTTTGTATTATCTACTTCTCTGTCTTGCTGCTGCAACGCACAAATTTCCCCCCTGGGATCAATAAATTTTTATCTTATATTATATTAATACTGTACACTGTGCACTGAAAAAAAAAAATGTTTAAATTAGATTGAGGTTTTCACATGTCTGGCAGAATAACGTTGCATTTATATTTATGCATTTATATGCATTTATTAATGGTCCCATTTCCCCAGCTGGGAGGATATTCTTCTGATTTGGAGTCTTAATAAGCTTTAAGTGGGAATATGGAAAGAATGATGCTACAAACTATATTATACTTAATACTGAATTACAGTAGCTCTGGGGCGGAAGCAGCTAAGTCCGTAAGTACTTGGGTTGGGAACCGGAGGGTCGATGGTTCAAGTCCTTTTGCGTACCAATGTATGGAAGTTGGTCTGGTAGCTGGAGAGGTGCCAGGTCACTTCCTGAGTATTGCTGAAGTTCCCTTGAGCAAGACACCGGACACCCATTCGCTCTGGCGTAGCAGAGTAGCAATCCCACTCTGACATCTCTCCATTAATGCATGTCCACAGGTCCTGTTTGTGCATGTGCATATTGCAGGCCTGTGTGAGAAGCCTCACTCTCAATTTCCCTCAGGTATTAATAAAGTATGTAAAAAATAAATAAATAAATAAATATGTATATATATATATATATATATATATATATATATATATATATATATATATATATCTCAACCCTACAGCAACTGTTGTGCAGCATAATCCTGTGTAATATGACACCTAGTCTGTGACTGGACGAGTGACAAAAGGGGATGGTTGTGTAAATGTGAAACTTAATTTCACAATTACAACATGTGAATTCAGGACATGAATCTCTAAATATATCTAACATGATTCTTTGTTTGCTGCAGTGTTTTCATTCTTGAAAAAAAAAAGTTCCTGAAACATGGTTTTATTTTCTGTTGCTAAAAAACAGAGTACAAATGATCAAAGGCGACCATACAGTGAGACATATCTGATCAGTTATTCAGTTTGACACGAATACAGAGAGAGTCACAAACAAAATGTCCCACTGAGCTGGTTCCATCTCACAGACTTTCAAACAATAGCAATAGTCATGCATCAGATACAATAATTGCAGCTGAGTGTTTGTTCCTTATAAATTGTGGGTATACACTGTCCACATTCATGTGAAGGGATCGCGTGTGTGCTCGTATGAATCCCTTCGGGTCCCGTGTGTGCGTCTGTCCCTGAGTGTTCACACGTTCGTATTGAAGCTGCGCATGTGTGCGTGTGTGTGCAAATTGTAAAAGCATGAGCTTGTTAATTTCAATAAGGGACGCTGCCTTGTTGTGGTTTTGGAGGGATGGGAGGGAGAGGACTTGAAGTGGCCGACCAAGATCGCCAGAAATCTCCCAGAATTCCATTCCACCAACCAGTGCCAGCTTTCTCTCCTATGTTTCTTACTCTTCTGCTTCTCTCCATCATCTCCACCATGAAAGCATTTTCATAATTAATCTATTTATTTATTCAGTCATTTTCTTAATTACTTTCCACTTTGTGCATGCGACTTGCCTCATGCTGGAACAACTGGGATATGTGTCAGAAACGATGACTGACAGCAGAGTGATTTCATTTCTGAAAAATGTTGATACAGAGAAGAAAGTTGTCCTTTGAAGAGGAGGGTGGGTGGCTGATAAAAATAACAACAGAGAAGAAGTCTGTCTTCTTAAATGTCTCTACTCATTCTGCTTTCTGATGCTCAAATAAGATCCAGATCTGAATTAAGGAATGACGGGTAATGAAAGGATGTGTAGATGGGGGGTTTGTTTTCTGTTCGTCCTGACTCATACTCACCACCACACTATAATCCCCCCTGGTGATGGTCACACTGATTACTGACACTTGGATGTTGCTGCAAAGACACGCACATGCACATGTTTTAAGTTAGACTATTACTTTACACGTATGATATGATAACATGCAAGAAGGCAGGGTTTGGTTACATCTAACATAAGTGAGATGAACATAAAACAAAGGCTGTTGGAACTTATCATCTTAAAAGATACAAAGAAAAAGAAACATCTGGAATAAGAGAAATGAATCAGAATGCACTTAATTTAATTTACAAAAACCTTGTTGCTACACAACATGACCAAAATATGGCAAAAAAGACACTTTACTTCAAAAAACATCAGGCACTCATGCATTGTAGTGTGTTTAAACTAACACGCCCTTCCAGTCTGCCAGGCAGGAAGAGACACACTCAGCTGGGCATTGTGTGGAAGGGGGCATGCCACTTGGCCTCTCTCCTTCTTTCACACAAACATATGCACACACTGCTCGCAGTCAGGCATCGCTCCTAACAACGGGCGCCTGAGCTTCGCGTTTCCATGGCAATCTGTACCAGCAATCTTCCCACGGTGGCAGCGGAACTGAGCGCTAAGCAAGGAGCCGTGTGTGTGCCTGAGTGTGTGTGTGTGTGTGTGTGTGTGTGTGTGTGTGTGTGTGTGTGTGTGTGTGTGTGTGTGTGTGTGTGTGTGTGTGTGTGTGCGTGTGCGCCTACAAGTGTGCTATCTTGTCCAGTGAAGGGCCCAGATGTTCGGACACTCACTGGACTGATTCCTCTCTTGACCCCTCAGTACCTGACCTCATCTCTGTACAAAATGACGCACAGCAAGAGTATAGGTTAGAAAGTTTGGAAGAGTTTTATGTCCAAGCTCCAACTTTGTTTTCTTAATTAAGGGTTAGTTCTTTATTTTTAAAAAGTCACTTTTAAAATAAATAATTCAAAACCTTATCAAATAGTTTGTTTATCTTGTTCCCTTATAGAGCACTGATACGCATTTAAAGTAGATAAACACATAAAATATTAACCAAAAAGTCAAGTTGATAACTGCTCAGCAAAGCAGCTTAAAACAGAATATGGTAGTATCTAAGTTATCAACAAGTTAGAGTTAAAGTTGTAGTTAGCCAAATCAGTCAGAGAACTACAACCAGTTAATAACCAGTTGAAATTTTTAGCTTTAAGCGATTTCAATTATTGAACTAGCAAAAAGGATTCATCCCATAAAGAGTCAAAGTGAGCTAATATCGCGATGGTTGTCAACATATTCACCTTAAATGTAGCCTGAAATGTAGCCTATTATACGCAAAATAATTGTTAATGCCAAGTTGTTCATTAATGCTACTTGATGTTGCTAAAAGTAGCCTTCTTATTAGGCTACTGGAAAAGTTGTAGTAATGCTGCCTTCATGTAGCTACTGTATGGTTGTGACGTTTGTGTGACATTTCAGGGCAGCAAACATGTTGAAAGCTCGGAAACAGTGTCGACAACTGGAACAGGAATGGGGAAACACTGTCAGTATGCTATCAAGCATAGTTTTAGCAATAAGGCTAGCTAGCTAAGCAACTACTCTATAGCCCTCAATCTATTGACGAATTTAAACTTGAACTACAGCTTTTTATTTGTATTATTATTTTTCTCTTTTCCAGCCAGAGCACTAAAATGCTTGTCATTACGACTGCAAAACTGGGAAGTACAATAAATCGAGGAGCATGTGAAGGCGGCATAAGCCATAAATAAAACTATTGTTAGAAAATTGTTAGCCACACCAGTGAATAAACAGTTAGCCTACTAGCTTAAAGCAATGTAAACAGTTGAAAATGCAAACAGTCATGATTGCTGATCAATGACAGCTGGGTAAAGGGAGCGTTAAGGTCCACCTTTTTTGTTCGCTCCTTCTGTTTTTTGTCTCTCACAATCATTTATAAAAAAAAAAAACTAGCTCAATAACTCCATTCTCCTAAGTCAACTGTATGATGTTGTGGGAGTCGAGCTTTATGCACTGTCACACACTCACTTTTCACACTCCATCATTCCCACACTCCTCACCTCTCTCCTCCGCTCCCTCCCGCTGCCATTGTTCTACAGCGCAGTGTAATTAAAGGAGCAGAAAGACAATGAAAGAGGGATAGAAAGAAGGAAGGAAGGAGAGCGGGATGAGATTGGAGTCTAATTGACTGAGGATGACTGAGCAAAGGGGGGAGGAAAGATGGGGCTCTGGGGGGGGGGGAGGGTGACAGGCTGGGGAAGGCCAGATTAAAGGGAGGGAGGAGGGACAGGGAGAAGAGGCGGGGGAGCCCAAACTGGCAACACTGCCCTAACTGCCAAAGTCCTATTTTGTCATTGGGTGGCTGTGACAGAGAGAGGCAGCCAAGAGAGAAATAACAGAGAGAGAGAGAGAGAGAGAGAGAGAGAGAGAGAGAGAGAGAGAGAGAGAGGAGAGAGAGAGAGAGAGAGTGAGTGACTACCATTGGATGCCAGTGATAGAGTAAAAGACTAAAGCAGCTTGTGAATTTTCTTAGTTGCCATGGACCCTTGGGGGTCAATCAAGTGGCGCTGCTGACTCACAGAGGAAAAAAACTGAAGGCACATGAAGAAACAACAAAAAAACAACAAGTGACAAGAAGTAACTAAGGACAACAAGGCTTTTTATAAGTAACAGCGCGAGAGAAATCAGAGTAAGGGGCACGCAGGGACAGAGCTTCCTCCAGACGGTCTTCAGTGTGTTCCACCAGGCCATCATCAAACCATCAGTCCAGCCGGTGAGGAAGGCACAGAGACATGAAGAGACCTCACGACTACAGCTCCCCTGACTCGGACACAGACGAGTATATTGACGTGGGGCAAGAAGACGGCTACTGGTGAGCATCCACTAACCACACCTGAGCGTGTAATACATGCACTCCAATCCCACTTTTGTAGACATTTGTATTCAAGTAGGTTTATGTAGCTTAAGACTAAAATGGTTCAAACATATTTGTCTGTAAACTTTCAAGCGTTTTGACACTTAACTGCTGCAATACATTAAGTTGCAAGCACTTTGAAAGATTGCATGAAAAATGAGTGTCTGAGCTCCAACATTATATTGTTTTTATTTTTTATGAGAAAGGAAGTTTAACCTTAATGTTTTGACACACCTTTCAGCAAATCTGAACTTTCTTAATGAAGTTTAACTTCAGGCCTCCATCAGTAAATCTCCCATAGTAAACGTCTTTCATTGCATTTCCTTTCTAATCCATTTTTTAAATTCTATTTTGTATTGTTCACTTTTTATTCTTTCCAATGTGAATTTATGAAGAGGTTGGCAATTGTAATTTCAGACATGATGTGCATAGAACGGTTTATAATACAAAAAAAAAAAAAGATGACATCATCGTGTGTAATGCATGGAGTCAATGTATCATTTGTAAGATATATTTAATTCTGAAAAAAAAAATCTGAAAAACAAACTATTAGTTTCCGTCAAGAACCTGTTCATTTATATATATAAAAAGATTGGGTGGAAATGTATAATTACAAATGATCTTGTTCAGAACCCTTTGATGTTGCATGAAACACAAAAATGAACTGTCAAACTAACTGTGAAAACTTCAGAGTCAGAGAGGAATAATCACACATCAGTTATGCTCAAATATTTCGTTTTTTTTAAACCTTAATAGAAACCATGTGAGAGAAAACAGTAAAAATATGCTTTCTTATAAAGAAGTTAACATTGGTTATTTGGCTTTATTTATAAAAAAAAGTGTTTTAAAAACTAACTTTAAAAGTAACGTATTGTATTTAAGTTGGATTACCTTTAGTTTGTAAAGTGTCAAAAAGGCAAAATACTTAGCAAGAAACACCGTTTGAAAAAATGTTTTAAAAACACTGAAATGATACCGAACACAGCATAAACTCTTTTCTTGTCAATTTTATCAGTCACATTCCTGATCGGGATTAGGGAAAATGTTGAATTAAAGGGAATAACAATAAGAAAGTATTTGTAACAGTGGATCCGAGTATACAAAAAAACACATTCAAAGCTGTACTGGTTACATCACAGGCACTGAACAAGCCAGTAACACTAAAGACGGTTTGGATAAATCAAATTGCTGTGTGACACGCAAACAGCAGACAGTGCCGTCTTTTCAAGCCATCCTCATCAAACATAAACCTAAACAAAAACACACAGCTAAACTGGCAGTCTTCATGTTCAAATCTAATAGAAAGTCAATAAGTCTCTGGTGGGGCAGTTTGAAGGGAACTCTGAGCTGTCAGGCTCTTTCAAGACTGTAAGATGAGCGCTCACAAACAAACACAATCCATATTGAGTGACTGTACTCCGAGGAGCTCCGATCCCAGGCTGCATGTTGGAGCCCCATGCGAGCGAAAGCATCGCCCCGAGGCTATATAATCATCTTTCTAAGAGTGCTTTCACTCAGATGGAAAGAAGAACAGCATGTCATTTTACTGAGACTAATGTCCAGAAATGCATTAAACCAAAAACAATCTCATCTTCCCCTCCTCTCCAAAGCACTTCTTTGCTGTTCTGTGCCCAAAAAACAAATTAGATTGAAAGGAGCTGATGTGCCATCCTGCCTCTGTGTCATATTAGGGAGGGTAATAATAACAATATGCAGGAGAATCAAAGTTACCATGTTTCTCTCTGTGCCAATGTTTCATCTCTCTATTTCTCTCTCTCTCTCTCTCTCTCTCTCTCTCTCTCTGTCCCTGTGTCTCCATGGTGCAGCCCAGTCACCGGGTCCATGTCTCCTGGCAGCGCCTCACAGATTCTTGCCCGAAAGAAGAGAAGAGGGGTGAGTGGATCATAGGCTTTGATCCTAATCTTTTTAGTCCTGTGGTTGTTTTTTTTTGTTGGCCCTGACTGTCCCTGTGCTCCTCTCGTTGTGTAGGTCATAGAGAAGAGGCGCAGAGACCGTATCAACCACAGCTTGTCAGAGCTCAGGAGACTGGTGCCCAGCGCTTTTGAGAAACAGGTAACAGCTCACAAATCAAGATACATTCAAAAGATTCAATTTCACTAACAGAAGTGTCAAACAAGCATTCATCTGCTGCACTTCAACATACTGTGAGAAGGGGTTTTTTTTCAGTTTTTCTGTCTGTTTCAGTTATGAAAGACAGAATTAATTATGACAGAATTAATAAGTGATGTAGTAAATTATTCCACAAAAGCAAACTTCTAACTTTTTTTTTCTTTTCTGTTATTTTTAATGCCTGGCATCACTGCTTCTAGGGAGACTTCAAAACAAGTAATTACCTGCTTTTAGGCTGAAAGAGCCTTTGTTCATATTTCTCTAGTGCCAAGTTAGACCATTTGGAGGAAGTAAGACAGGATTATAGAAATTTCTATGCTCACAGGATAGAAAAGGAGAAAGGATGCATCATTTTGGGACACCAAAATTGCCAATAATGAAAGTTTCCTCTCAGTGAATTTAAGTGACATGTTTGCTCATGTTTCCCTGCAGGGCTCATCTAAGCTGGAGAAAGCAGAAATCCTGCAGATGACTGTGGACCACCTCAAACTTCTGCATGCCATGGGAGGGAAAGGTGAGATGCCTCATTTTTTATTTTTTTTATTTTTTTGCAAAAAAAAAAAGAAGTTTGTTTTCTAGCCCTCTATTTCTGTTGAATGATGAAGTACTTCTTAAAAAAGATCTTGAACCCTCCATAACAGACGAATACTTCTATTCAAAGGGAGCCAGCAATCTGCATTTGGGAAAGGAGGCCTGTTTGGCTGATAAATTATCAACTTAATTTTTCTTATACAAATTATTCATTCTTTTAGAAATCTCACTATAATATTCAACTGAATCAAGGCTTTTCACCTTTTTCAGTAATGTCATGTTTTTCTTCCTATGCATTTCTGTCTTCCTTACTAAAGACCTTATCAATCAGTTTTTGTTTTTACTTCTGAAAGTAATATTTCTATTTATCAAAAATATTTTATCTGCTCTTTTTTTTAGCTTTATCTGCTCAAATTTGGAACATCATTTTTGCAGACTGACTGCATGTCACTGCTGTTCTTCAGTACATGACTCAACTCTTTTTCTCTCTCAGGTTATTTTGATGCGCGGGCCTTGGCAGTCGACTACAGGACACTGGGCTTCAGGGAGTGTGTTGGAGAGGTGGTGCGGTACCTCAGCTCCCTTGACGGGGACTCCCCAGACCCTGTAGGAGCCCGCCTGGTCTCCCACCTTTCCCACTGTGCAAGTGAGCTTGACCCTCTCCTCCTGCAGTCACCCCCGACCTCTGCCCTGCCCTTCCCTCCTTGGCCGTGGCCGTCTTTCCATCAGATCTCCCCCGCCTCGCCGGCCTCCACCTCACCTGCTTTCCACGGGCGTAGGGATCTAGCCCTGCTGGGGAGCTACCCCTCACCAGCCTCTCTCCGCCTCGCTCCCCTGGCAGGCTGCCAGCAGGGCGCACCACCGCTTCTTGCACATACAGCTTTGGCCACTGTCCACAGGATGCCCTCCCTCGCAGCTTCTACAGCCCTGGCCCCCTCCAGACCCACCCAGCCCTCCCCTCACAGTGCCACCAGGGCCTCGCCTCTTCCTCTCCCCACTCCTTCTTCTTCCTCTTCTTCTACGTCCTCCTCTAATACGTCATCATCTTCTGCCCCTCTCCAAGTGTCCTTCAGACCATTTGCACCTCTGGGGTCTCCTACAGCCCAGCGCAGGGGCTTGAGTGGATCAGCCAAGTCAGCCCAGGGATGGGGGACTGAAATCGGAGCCTTCTGAGAATCGACTCTCTCTTTGTGTGTTTTTGTTGTTGTTTGTTACAAATGAACATTTGTACAGCGGACATGGAGCTCCCATGTGCAGCATGTTGTGAATAAGATACCTTTGGAGATAAAAGTTTTAAACTTTGCTGATTGTCTCTGCTTTCGAGGGACTCTAAAAGCCATATCAGACTGTGGGAGGAATCTCAGATAGTCACAAACAATCATGTTTATGGAATTATGGAATGTGAGGGGGAAAAAAGGAAACTAAAAGTCATTCATGATCTTTTTTTGTTAAATAAACAACATCAACAGAGCCATATATATATATATATATATATATATATATATATATATCAACCCATAGACGTTGAGTTTTTACTGATCTTTAACTGTGATATTTGTTTTTTTGATTTTAGAACATTTATACATTTGATTACGTTTAAAATTTTTGAAGAATGTTTGACAAGTATCTCTATAAAGACAAAGAAGTGCCTTGACTTTATTCTCATCTTTTCTCTGTGTGTTTCTTACTGTTCAAACAAATGGAGAAATGTTCTTCCACTCACACTATGTTCCATCAACTCAGATGGCAAAGGAATGTTTGAAGGCTACATTTATTATCCGTTTTAGTCATGTCTGCAAACACTGCTCACATGTTCCCCAGCCATAACCCCCGCGGTATGAAAGCTGTCTCCAGTGATGGCTGATGGGAGCTGTGGTCTTGTGGCTGCAGAGGATAAACATGGTGGGAGCTGGTGATGTTTTTGGGATGCCGCGGCGAGGCAAACAGACCCATCACTTTGCCCTCTAATTGGCAGTCCCCTGTAATTAACTTTACCCTCATATCAGGCCATGTATCTTCCTCTCCTCTGTTGTCTCTCTGCCATTTCTCTTTTCAATCTTGTGGTACACCAGCGGATATCTTCTCTCCCTGTTTGTCTGCGCCGCTGTCTCCTCAACAATGGACAGCCAGTTAAAGACGAGGGCAAAAGGGAGGGATGGAGAGACTGAGCGAGGGGAAAACAAAGAGAAAAAGATCTGAAGGGCTGTGGTTGGGTGACTGATTCGGCGTAGACGTTCAATAACAGGCTGGGAGGGAGGGAGGAGACGGGGTTAAGGGGAGATGAGAGGGATTGTCAAGGTTTAAAAGGACAGGAGAATGAGTGTGAATGTCAGAGAGTGGGCCAGCACGTTGAGGACGTAGAAGAAAACTCCTGAACAATGATGAATGACAGTTGCAACAAGTTTTTTTTTTTTTTTCCTTAAGAAGACCAGCATAATTGTGCTGTGTTTCACCAAAACAGCTACGCGGGGATGAGAGGGCAGAGAAGAGCTTGTGTGTGTTTACAGCCGAGGGACACTTTGATCTACTTCAGGATGCAATGTCTGTGGTCTGTGGTCCAAAAATGTGTGTGTTCCACAAAGTGCATATTGTTTATTCGAGTGAGTGTGCTTGTGTGTTGCTTAGGCTAGCCTCATGTGCTTGCTGCCCAGTGTGTTTGTGTGTGTGTGTGTGTGTGTGTGTGTGTGTGTGAGTGTTTTGTTTATGTCCTGTGTGAGTGTGTGCATATAATATGAGTCTTCTGCGCTGGCGTCAGGACTGAACCGCGGTGGCGGCATGGCTCTCGTGCAAGGTCCGGACGGCGGTCGGACGGACGGTACGGTGGTGGAATGTTTGTGAAGGGTGCGTGTGCACACTGCGCACACACACATACACAGACACACGCACACACACAAACACACAGACACACAGACACACACTGGCTGGCACTATTCTAGCTTCTGAGCCGAGGAGCCAGAGTCACCACCACAGCTTCCAGGAAGAACAACCACAGTCACACTGCACTGCATTTCCCACGGGGAGGGGAGGCTGGAGGGAGGAGAGAGGAAGGAGGGAAAGGAGCGATGGAGAAAGAAGGAGTGGAAGTGTGTGTTTGTTTGTGTGTATGTTTATGTTGGGCAAGCCGGGTGTGTGGAATAGGCAGACATAGCGGTTCAAGCTGAATGAGGAAGAGGAGGGCCAAACAGACAGGGAGGAGGAATTATCAAAAAAACAGGAAGTAAGAGATTTGTTATGTGCAGTGTCTTTCCTTCAGCTAACACAGATGTCATTTTCACACCCAGTGGCCATGTTGTTTAAAAAGTTCCGATCTCGAGGATGCAGAAAAAGACTGCGCCTTAGACACTGAAAACCTGGCCCAAAGTCAGTGATGCAGTATGCATCTGCTATTTAGAGGACACAATAAAAAGATATGCAAATATAAGTACGTTCATTATGGACTTCCACTCTGCCCATCAGACACACAGGGACACACAGTAGCACTCCATCTACTCAATGAAATAATATTTTTGCATTTGCTGATTCTTTCAAATTGAGTTTATAATGGGAAAAAGGGCTGACGGGTGTTGTTTTCCTTGTCTTCTCTCATCTTATCATTCCTTTTGACATGAGGCCAATCTGTTGATGTCAGAATATTAGGAAAACGCTCAACGCTTCCTCGCCTGTGACACCTCTGTAAGAATCCTGCTCAAGCCGCACACCACTGGAGAATTACAGCTGAGACAGACTCCAAGCTCTCCACGCTCACTCCATAGCGGTTTCTGTCTACAAAAAGAAACACACGCAGAATCACACATGACACACACACACACTCTCATGCAACAGAGAGTTAGCTGTTACACGTAACTGTGTGCCACCTACAATCCAGCCCACAGATATCAGTACAGACTGTCCATTAGGCACATATCGGATAATAAAGCCATTGGTTTCCTGCAGAAAAAATAAGTAAATCAATATTTACAGCCTACCAGTAAACAGAACAGTAGTTAACATAGATCCTGCCTGATCCAGTCGGCGTGTCTGGAGATTTTAATAATTGACAAGGACATGCTTTTGTTGACCTACTGCGGAAATGTCTCTCTTAAATTGGAACGGCGCTTATGGTTTCTGATGTTGTGGGAATGCTTCAGTGGAATATAACTTCAATCCACCATCATCATAAACTCCTCAAGAAAAGTTTGGAGACGTTATTTAGGTCAATTATTTTGCCCCTTTAACAATTCTAGCTGGTGTTGTATTTTCTATCGTTGGACAGCCTGATTAGTAACATTTATAATGAGGTATAATTTAAACATGTGGGTAGCACCCCCCAAAAAAGTGCCAAAGTCCCCTGCAATATTCTTCTGTTGGTATTCACTCTTGTTTTGAGTTGCTTGGTGGAATTGATGATTGCAGTCTCCCACAGTAATAAGCCAAAAACAACACAATACTGGCCGTTTTTACACTTTATTAATTTTACACTGTCAGGGACTTCAGTAGCGTGTGGAAGATCCATATGCAGCCACAACAACTTGGCACCTCCTCATGCTGATCACATTTTGCTGTGGGATGGCATCCCATTCCTCAACCAGGAGTTGTTGAAGGTCAACCAGCGTGGTTGTGTTGTTCAAGTGCTGTCAATCAGGTGCCAGTCATATATCTGTAACTGGCACACACCTGGCAGCACTTGAAGCTCAAAACAGGAGTGAATACCAACAGAAGAACATGGCAGGGGATTTTGGCACGTTTTTTTTGGTCGCTACCCACACGTTTAGCTCTGTTGCTCATTCCACGAATGCACGATCCTTACAAGTTATACATGTTGTACTGGTGACTAATCAGGCTTTCCAACCATATAAAATTCAACACCAATTAGTATTATTAAAGGGGCAAAATAAGTGACCGAAATAACGTTTCCAAACTTTTTTTGAAGAGTTTATCTAATAATAAAAATGAGCCGGCTGAAGTTCTGTCTATCTAAAAAAAAAAAGATTAAGACGGAAATCTGCCACGTACGTACATGTCAATGCACCAGCCTTGGCTTTTAAAGGGAATCAGAGCTGACACTCTTTTTGGTTTGATTCTTGTCTTGTCATTATCAGCTGTTTTTTCATGTTTGCAAAAACATTTGAAAAATTGTTCAGGAGAAGGGATCTGCAGGCCAACTGGCCGCCAGTTGTTCATCCCTGTTACAGAATATTTCCTACTTCAACTAATTCATTGTTGCTGCAGTTTCTTTAGGATGCATCATGAAAATCGCCTGAAATATGTTTGAGGAATCTGACTTAGGGAATCCATTTAGGGACACTGCTAACTAACTGCTATACCGCTGAAATGAACTGTTAGCAGAAGCTAACTGCTGGGAAAATAATTAAATAAAAACATGGCTACCGCAGGAAATGACGGAAATAAATCAGCTGTGAAAGGAGCTGAGATAGCCTCAAGATCCTCGACAGTATCTTGTCAAAACCAGTTTTTAACTGAATACTCTGCTGGCACAAAGCCCCGGACAGCTCTTTTATTTCAGACCTTTTTCACTTTGTGGGAGAAGAGTGAAGAGTAAATTCCATTTTTCAAATGTTCTTTTAATTGATTGTAGGTTCAAAATACATCAAAGATTTACAGCCTGCTGCCAAGAATTGTAGTCACTCTGTCGACACGGAAATTAAATTACATTTAGTAGTTTTCATCTATTGAAAAACCCAAAGGAAACGCCCAATTGATGAGTGGTCTAATGTTCTTTTTTGCGTGTGCAAATGAACATAAAATAAGATGGGAATATGCCTTTGAGGTTTTAATGGAATACTCGTGCTGCAACATATTGGACTGTTCTGGCTTCCACATTGTCATTAAACCAGATACTGGGCAGCTCTTTTCTATCCCTTTCTTAATCCCCCTTTACTGTACATGTATTTTGTTGTTTCAATGACTCTCTGACACCCCTCACAGTCTGATGTAAACTGACCCACTTAAGTCCAAACCATCTTTACATCTGAGACAGACAAAGCCCTATGAAACACATTGGTGTGTGTCATAACCACTAACTTTGTTGCAGTACCTTTGATATAGTTTTATACCTACCAGACATTGGGTTGCAAGCTTTGAGAGAAAACATAGGTGATGCACATTAGTTTAATCTGAGTTCTGATCCTATGGGCGACAAGAACTCAGGAAGGTAGACTGAGGAACTGACACAGAAGGGAAGAAACACGGAGGCCCTTTCTGAAAAGCCACAGTTCAGTATGAGTGCGGACTTTTCAGTAGAAAGAACCCTTGTGGTCATTCAGAAGGCATTTTTTGGGTTCATCTCAGCAGACTGAACATTTCAGCATGGATGCTAACTTCCAGATTTTGTGCAGTATGGTTTGGATTCATCCTTTCAGGAAATAAGTTATATCTTAACAACCACAATGCTGTGCGAACTTTAATGTAAAACGTCATATCACGGGGAAAAAAAGTAAACCAGGATGGTTGCGGCCGGCTCGGGCAACGCGTGTTTCAAATGTTATGTTGAGAAATTGTTTACATGCAATGTGAAGTTTTGTATTATTTACTGAGCCATCGTGCATATCACATCTGAGTTGGAGTGTCGATAACATGAGGTGGGCTAATGACGCCACTTCCACACTGAATGAATCAGCAGAAGTAGGAACAAATATCGGCCTACTGTGCACACCTACTAAACAGTAGGTCCTAACAGTAAACAACATGGATAGACGGGACTGTTCACTGTCAGACTGTGTAGGCACTTCACGATTCAGAAGCACCCAGGGACTAAATAGACCAGGTAATTAACTACAGGTGAGACTAACAAGACACAGGTGAGGACAAGGAGGGCAATCAAAACTGGAGGGAAACAAGACAAAGGGAGGAAATAAACGGGAAAGCAGATGAACATACACACATTTGGATACATTTTATCAAGTGTCAAGTTTTAATATAATCAGATTTCACAATCAGAATGTAAAACAACATATTGAATGGGTCTCAATGACTAATGCACATCGTCAGTGAAAGTATTGAGAGCTGACCAAAGGTTTATTTTATCAGTTGGCACATATGTACTTCGGATCTGTTTTGGTGACTGATTGTTTACTCATTTAGCAACTGGTTGGCATCAAGTCCTGAACAGAAATGACCTTATGTTGAAAATATTTAATAAGACACCTTACAAAGGAGACAAAGAAGAACTTATATTTTAAAAGGGAGAGGCATAATTATGCTAAGGGAATTTATTAGACTATAATAGTTAGAGGAAGGTGCAAGATGTTGACGTTGCACATCTATGAAAAGCTTTATGAGCTGCTACTGTGAACTCCCTGCTGTCAACACACAGCAGTTCCTTTCACGTCTGTATGGCTTAACCGGAACTAAAACGATACTTTGTCCTTTCTATACAACAGCCTTAGGGAAACTGATTCATTCTATTTACAATTTTTCCCATGCGACTTCCTATGTGTAAGAGAACAATCTCTCCAGGAGAAGCCCTGAAGGCTTCAGGCTACTAGGGGCCAGTTTTGTTTAAAGCAGTTACCGGCCTGTGTGTCGTAAATATGTAATGTTTAGAGAATTATCAAAATGTTTTTTTTATCAAAAGAAATAGTTCTAAACACGCTATTTAGTCTTGTGAATGAGAAGAGACAGCATTGTTACTCTAGGAGCACACGATGACTTTTGAAGTGTAATCAAAGGTATCCACACACAACTGACCTCTAATAGTCTCTTTATAGCTGATAACAAGGTCATACTTATTAGGTTTGGCATAACTTTAATTATGGTTTAATTTGTATTAACTCTACTAAATCATGTAAACATAGACCTGAAAATGTCCCTTGTAATCAGGGGGCTAAATGCTTTTGTCAGACCATTCCTGCTTTAAGCACCTGAACCCTATGGCTAGACTTTGTAACCACACATGTTGACAATGTATCATGGTATCTGTTTGGTGTGTTGCCTGTATAGAAGACTGCAGGGTTTTAAGAAGGCTGAATTGACTTTGATTAAAGCCATGATGAGCACACTGGCCACAGCAAGGAGGGGAGGCACACATTTAAGAATGAGCTGTGAAAGTTTGTTTCAGTGACGTAGGATGTTTAAAGATGCATTGGGGTGGCTGTGGCTCAATTGGTAGAGTCGTTTCTCAACTGGAAGCTCGAGGGTTCGATCCCCAGCTCCTGCAGCAACATGTCCGACGTGTCCTTCGGCAAGACACTTAACCCCGACTTGCTCCCTCTGAATGGGATTGGTTACTTCTGATGGTCACGTGACATAGCAACCACCGCCTTCAGTGTGTGAATGGTAGGTGTGACATGTGGTGCAAAAACCCCTAACCCATAAATAAAGGATAAATGTATTATTAGCTGAAGTCCATGTACCATTTCAGGCAAATCTTATTATAAACAGGCTACACACACATATAACCTAGCCCAGGGCAAAGGAGAAATATCACAACATAATGGATACTGACCTCTGCTGTCAAAAGTATACAAGTGCAGGAATAAAGACAAACTGTTAAGAGCTTTGCTGCTGACATCACTCCCACTTGAATGGCAGATAATTAACAACAACATCCTTCATATGTTATTCAACATGGATTATTTGGATATGTTTATTATAAACAGTTGTTAGTGTGATACCTTAAATATGGATATGTTTTAGATTTGGGCTTGGTTTATAGTGTCAATTTTGAGAAAAAAAAAAAAATCTGTAAAGTTTACAAACTATAGGTACAACATTATTTCAGCAGTATGTATGTGCACTTGAAATACTTCAGATAACATAAACTGACCCATATCAAACCATAGTATTAATGATGAAACATTCTTAAACACAGTAGGGCTTTGTATATATCACTTTCAAACAGTTATTTTTATTTGATTTAGACAGCTGTAAGTGTGTAAAGCACGCCGACAGTTCTTCAGGGTGAAGCCGGACACAACATTTGCCAGTTTAACAACTTTAGGAGGAGCAGGCATTGTGATGACACGCTTGAAATAGCAGCGGCGCCTAGAACAAATAGAATAAACACAGCAACATTAACAATAAATGTTTTCAAATTTGTGTGTGAGCATTATTGTAATAAAACCTGACAATTGTATTCGTCAGGTTCAAAAAGAAATTTGCAGACAAAAATCCCTTTGAATTGCTTTTGTAAGAGGTTGAACTGCACCACCTCAAGTCATAAATTAGAGTCAAGAGCCTCTTTTACCTGTCATTTTTCATACCTCCCAAACTTATATTAAAAAAAAAAAAAAAAAAAAAAAGTGATAAAGTAATTAACTCAGGGAAAACATCAAGTTAGATCAGATCTAGAAAATTGAAAACAACACTTGCCTCTCTTGACCACGATATGATACATAGAAATGCCGGCACCATAAATCACTTATGACTGCAACTTTCAACCAGAAGATGTCATCAGGTGGTCACCAACTTTCACTGGATGTTTCGACCCTGAACCATAACATCCTCCAGGTGCTGCCTCCTCCAACCTGCGAGCATGCTGCCTTCCTACTATTCCTAGGGGTGCAAGTGTATTACATACAGACTGCACAGAGAAACCCCTGCAGCTAACTTCCACTGGGAATAGCCAGGCCTGCCACCCTTTTTCCCTGCACTGCTGGACCAGGTCAAAGTATCTGGTGGCTTTTCCTCTCCTTCATTTCCCACCTGTGCAGGTTTCTAAGAGTTGGAAGGGTGTCATACACTGACCGAAGCAGGAAAGAGATGCAGAAGGGCTAATGGCCAAAATTCCTGATACAATGTGACGTTGATATTTTACTTCAGTTTTTTTTTGAAAATCACATTCTCGTTCATAAAAAAAAACAAAAAAAAATACTGTACCAGTAGTCAGGGTTAGAAACGCGTTCACTGGCGTATGCGTAGAACTGGCAGTTGGCATCCTCAGAACATTTCCTCTGACATGTTTTTGCATCATCCATATACTCAAAGCCAATGTCAGAACCTTGAAAATCAACATCTTCTAGAGCTTCCTTTATCCAGCCTGTTTGTAGAGAGAGGAACAGAGTTAACCTTCTCCTGCTAATGAATATACAGGGATTCAACATCAAAAAATAAACTCAAAGGTTATCTCAATTAACACGTGTCCTAAAAAAAAAAAAAATTGTTTCTTTGCAGTGGAAGTTCACATCACAACAGAATTTAATATGAAAGAGTTTGCTTATTTGGGCATGCAATAGGCCAACTAGATGAAAATGGTTCAGGTTTGATTTGTATGTGAAGGTTCTCAGTCACCATGGTCCTGGTTGAAGTTCTTGGAGATTTATAACCTTACCTCTGAAAGTCTGAAACTGAAGGTGCACTTCAGAGGAGAAGTGAAGCATCTTAAGAACTTATACCAATCATTGATTTATTGAATCATTAAATGTATTGTCTGGTTTTTATTTAAAGTTGTCTGTTCATAATACAAAGATTAAACATGACAAACCCTGCTTTGGTTAATTTGTGTTTATAGGCTTAGAGGTCTGGCAGAGTGCTGTAAATCAATCATCTTTCATTTTTATGAAGTTACTTAAGATATCACAGTTTACATATATGGTGGGTTCAGACCACACTTCTTATGCCTTCATTTACAGAGACTTAACTTAATCCACCAATGAACAAGGACTCTGTACAATGGCAAAGTAAAGCTCCCTTTAAAAAGACAGAATCCTTGAGTGGAATCACACTCATTGGGTCTTGCTGACCCAAGAAAGTGGGAGAGAGGAAGAAATCTTATGTGATCGTAATAGCTGACAATGACATGTTTTATATGAAAATATTTAAAAAGTTGACGGCGTGAAGCACACTGTCAAAAGTGTGTGGGTGCAAAGTGATGTGTTGCATCTCTGACTGTTTTGCTATTAACGCAATGTACAATATTGGTGTTAAAGGAAGAATGTGCGACATTTTACATACAACAGAAATCAAGTTATGTCTCTGAGTCCTGACTGTCGACAATGAGTGAGAAGCGTGAGTCCCCCCGGCTGTGTTGTTGTTGGAGCCTTGTTTACATGGACAGGACACCCGACTCTTCCTGAATATAAAAACTGTTTCGTTCAAGGACTAGAGAAAAGAATAACATAGCCTACTGACTGCTTATTTGAATGTCACAAGTGTTTTTAAATCACGGTTATTCTGTCACTTTATAGGCAAAGTGAAGCTACAAGCCAAGTGTGCTTTCATTAGCCTGCTAACAACAATGCAGGCCACAGGCAATTGAATTTCAAGCCAACTGAAGTTATAGATCACTGAAGCATAAAAATGTACCTACAACTGATTGGTCTGAAAACACCTCGGGTTAATGTTGATCAGTGGTACTTACTGTTATCGAGCTGACAGAAGCGTTCTGGTAATCCAGAGGTGACTCCTGCTTTAGCCACGGTCACCATTTCATTTACGTTACTCTTCAGGTTACACGTGAAGCTTTCACTACATAAACAAAATGGATATATTGGAAAAATATATATTTTAAGAAAAAGTACAGATCACATTTTACGAAAAATTACTAAGGCTATTTTTCAGTCATATACGAAACTTCTTTTTCTGTGACAGAAAAACAGTTACAAAAATATTTCCCTCCTTGAAAGACTTCTGTCAAACAAACCCTACCGTGTAAAAGCAAAGAAGGTGCAGGATGGATGTGCGGAGCACAGCATCCGACAGTGTTCAGCAGAGGAGGCGGGCAGAGCCTGTAGGCTGTTTCCTGGGATGGCAGTGTTTTGAAAAAGCTTGCCCTGACAGGCTGAACAAAAGACGGGCAAAATATAAGACAAAATGAGAATACAATTATCTTTTAATTTAGTTATACGTTTTAGTGACTTTTTCTGTACCTGTGTCAAAGTTTAGGCCCATTTGTGTTTTGTGGGAGAATCCAGACACTACACCAGTCTGCCCTAAAACAAGAGGTGGCCTGGGGATTGTCCAGCTGAACTTGAGGTGACACTTGTACCTTAAACAGACCAGACATAACAAGGTAACTGTTGTTGAATTGAATTTTAGAACCTAGAACTTGCGATTACTACCGTAAACTGCAACATACACTCACGTTTTTAAATCAGCTTGAACACATATCCATATTATCATTGTGGCACTTCTAACCTTAAAACCTTGTTTACAAGCACATACAAAAGTAAAGTAATATACTGCCTCAGTTTTCTTAGCTGCACATGCACTTATTTTACCCATACATGAAGAAGAAGATTTATTCGCGAAGGGAATTTCAGTTTTACACTATTATTGAGACATGCTATACACATGCACAAACAGGATGACATGCATTAACAGAGAGATGTCAGAGGAAGGGGTTTGCTCACAGCGAGCAATTCTGGGCTGGTGGTGAAGAGGGGGGTTGGATAGTGCCTTGCTCAAGGGCACTTCTGCAGTGCTCAGGAAGTGAACTGGCACATCTTTACTAGACAAATTTCCAGACTTGGTCCGCAATGGAACTTGATCCGCTGACCCTCCTTTTTCCAAACTGAGTCCCTACGGACTCAGCTACTTCCACCCCACATAACATTGTATGATGCAATATATTGTGTTTAATGTTTGTTGTAATGTAACACTATGTGAATCCAGTGTACCTGATAGTTTCTGATGTGAAGACATTATTCATAAAAGTGAAGAACTGACAGGATGGGTCCTGTGTGCAGGCTCTCTGACAGCTCTCATAGTCAGCTGTGAATAATGTCTGGTAGTCTGCACCAAAGAAGTCGACATTCTGGTAAACCTTAGACAGACAGGGCTCTAGCAGACACACAGAGAGATAACAGGAGAGGGGAATGTGATCATGCAGCACCATTCACAATATGTCCGGTCATTATTTTAAACTGTAGTCAACTTACGTGGGACTGGGTTGCAGGGTTTCAGAGAGAAGCCTGAAGTAACGCCCAGCAGTGGAGCCCTCTTATTTGGCACTCCAGAGGGAGTGGACTTCAGGTAACAGTAGAAGTGCCTGTGGAGAGAGGGGCAGAATTGTTTTCCTTTTGTGTGTGTGTGTGTGTGTGTGTGTGTGTGTGTGTGTGTGTGGCACAGCTCTGACAGGGTTATTGAACTACATGTTTGCAGAGAGGGATTGCATAATTCCCACATTTATTGTAACAGCAGGACGGCATCAACTTCAAACTTAAAAGTAACTTCTTTATGTCGACAGTTTTAACTTTTTGTCATGACGTCTTTGATACTGCAACTTTGAGAATTCAAGACTTCAAAATGTATTTGAAGGGTCTTGAAATGTTTTCTGCTCATTACATTACATGATTAAAAACACAATACTCATACTTTTAATACTTATTTTGTTATTTCCTACCTGTTATCTCTGGTCCAGTCTGACCGAATAAAAGTGAAAAACTGGCAGGAGGGGTGCTGGGTGCAAAGGTGCTGACAATGCTCAGCATCAGGAGAGTAGAGATGTTGTATATCTGTTCCTGGGAAATCCACATTCTGCTGAAACTCTGCATTACACTCTAAAGAAAAAAAACACATTTACAAAATGCTCAAAAATAACTACACACACATGTAATAAACACTAGCACACATACAGAAAGGGGTATAATTGACACTAAGACACAACTTTTAGTGTAATATTTACATTGTGTGTGTATTACCTGAACTGAAGCAGAGGCCGCACAGGGAGAGCAGACCCAACAAAATCAGATAGGTTCTCATCATCGCAGTTTTGATGACACTCACAGACAACAAAGCTTTTCCAGTCACAAACACAGCGATGAGATGCTCTGGAGCTTCAGACTGGCCAAAGGACTGGGCCTCAACCTCTGAATTTATATGTCTGATCAGTTAGTTGCCCAAACTGAACCCAGGCTTTATATCCACTGCAGCCTTGATTGTGGATGGAAAACAGGTGTGCAGAAGGAGGTGGAGCCGCTTGACCAGGGGTGCATTCAAATTGTCTTTTTTTGCTAAGGAAGGTTCCTGACTGATTGAAATGGCCTACAAGCATCTAAGTGGCGGGTAAGAATTTTTTTAATATAATAATAATAACTTTATTTATATAGCACCTTTTAAAAACACAGGTTTACAAAGTGCTTTGACAAACAGCAAAAACAAGAACAAACTAAAGCAAACACAGAAGAACATAAACAACAGCAAGAATAAACAAATGTAAAATACTAAGAATAATTAAATACAATTCAACAGAAAAGAACCCAAAGTGCACAATAGCCAAGAGACATATATAACCCGACCATCACAAGAACCATTATAAGAACCCAGGAAACACAAGAACCCAACAACACGAGCTGAGACCAAGAGGACCAAAGATTTAAAAAGATGTAAGAAACTAAAAGAGCTGAAAAAAAATAAATAAAAAGATAACAGCAATAAGAAGGTAAGAGCAGTAAAAGAAATAGAAACAAGTGGTTAAAGGATCAAAAAACCCAAAACTATAATATTAATAAAAATACAAAGTAAATATAAATATAAAACATAAATAGACAAAGTAAGTAAGATAAGAAATTACCAAGTTAAAACACAAGAGGAGATTAAGATATGAGCATAAATACGAGATAAAACCATAAATAAAAGGATAGCAAGAAGTAAAAGAAGATAAAAATAGTAAAACCAGTAAGAAAAGACATTAAGAAGACGACATCACATAAAAGCAAGTCTGTAAAAGTATGTTTCAAGAAGGGATTTAAAAGAATTGAGGGAATCTGCGAGTCTTATCTCCTCAGGGAGGTCGTTCCAAAGTCGAGGGGCCCTGACTGAAAAGGCCCGGTCACCTTTACTTTTAAGTCTCGACTTCGGAACAACCAGGAGGGCCCCACCTGAGGATCTAAGACTGCGGGCTGGCTCATATGGTGTCAGTAGCTCTGTTATATAGCTTTAAAGTAATAAAGTAATGAGTAAAATATTAAAATCGATCCTAAAACGTACAGGAAGCCAATGTAATGAAGCTAAAATTGGAGTGATGTGATGTCGTCTGTTACAACCAGTAAGAAGCCTAGCTGCTGCATTTTGGACTGGCTGGAGGCGAGACAGTGACTTATTTGTGATTCCGGAAAAGAGGGAGTTACAGTAGTCAAGTCGGGAGAAAATGAGAGCATGGATGATCTTTTCAATTAAAATTGTGCCCTCCCCTCTATCTGTTGCTAAAAGAAGGTCATTGGTTACCTTGAGGAGGGCAGTCTCTGTGCTGTGACAAGCTCTAAAACCGGATTGGAATTTCTCAAAGAGGTTATTTTCAGTCATAAAAGATAAAAGTTGTGTTGAAACCACCTTTTCTAAAACTTTTGATAAAAATGGAAGTTTTGAGATTGGTCTAAAATTGGTAAAATCAGTGGGATCAAGGTTGGGTTTCTTTAAAAGTGGTTGGACCACAGCATGTTTAAAAGCAGAGGGAATTACACCTTCGCCAAGGAACTATTAATAATGGATAAAATACTGGGTCCAACTGTGTTAAAAACCTCTTTGAGAAATGTTGTGGGAATAAAATCAAGGCTGCACGTAGCTGATTTCATGTGGGTTAAAATTTCAGATAAAAAGGTCAAGGACACCGGCTCAAAACTGCTAAAATAACTGTTAAGTTCCCTGCTGGTGTCTAAAATACGGTCTGGGGGGATGATTTGTTGCCTAATGTCCTTGACTTTATCAGTAAAATAAGTTGAAAACTTCTCACACAGATCCTGAGAAGGATTAGTAAAATAAGGGGGGGGGGGGGTAATTGATTCTAAAACCTTAAATAAAATTCTGGGGTTAGAATGATTGACTAAAATCAGATTAGAATAAAATGCTGCTCTTGCGCCTTTAACTGCCTTTTGGTATTGTTTCATTGAATCTCTCCATATTTCATAAAATACATGCAAGCCTGTTTTTTTCCATTTTCGTTCTTTCCTTCTGCAGTCTCTTTTTAGATCCTGAGTCAGTTCGTTTAGCCATGGCTGTGGAGCTCTGTTAGTTATTTTGTCTTTATAGGGAGTAACAGAGTCCAGCACAGTTTGACAGGTGAGATTAAAAGAGGAGACCAGCTCCTCTGTGTTAAAATTTTGGTAAAAGGCAGTTGAAGAGACAAAAATAAAAAGCTCCTTAAACTTGCTAGCAGACGTAGAGTTCAAAACCCTGCTGCGGACAGGTGCCTTGCTAATAAAAGGTGGCTGAGATAAAACCATTCTGAATAAAACCAGTTTGTGGTCTGACACACAGATATCCTTTGTCTCAAAGTTGTTAGGGCTGAGACCACTGTATAAAACAAGCTCTAGTGTGTGGCCCTTAGAGTGAGTGGGTTCCTGTATTGCTTGAGTAAGGTTAAAAGAGTCTATAATATCCATAAAATCACCCGCGAGGGACTGAGAGGGGCAACAGTCATGTATGTTAAAATCACCTAAAACAAGGATTTTATCATACTTAGAAATAAAATGTGATAAAAACTCTGAAAACTCTGCAATAAAAACATTGTTAGGTCTGGGTGGTCTGTAGATGATTAAAATTAACACAGGATCTTATAAGTTAACAATAAAACCAAGATGCTCAAATGATGTAAAATGAGTGTGGAAAATTGGAGAGCATTTAAAATCTTTTCTATGAATAACAGCAACGAGAGACAGTCTGCAGGTGACGTGTATAGGGATAGTGAATTCAGTGCTGTGGTCTGTGACAGTAGAGAGTGTATGACAGTTATTGGAGGACAGAGAAGAAGGAGAAAAATAGTGACACCAGGTGTGAGGAGCAGGGGAGGGGCTTGCTAAAACATAATTTTAGCGAGATTATGTTTTATTCAACATAGTTCATTCACTTAAGAATGCTTTTTGCAGTTATATATCTTGCATAAATGTAATAATTTTCTTCACACAATCATACTTAATTGGGATTAATGTTGAGGACAGGAAGGTGAGCGTGAGCAACCATTCTCGATGTGACAACCATTTGGTTTCACTTTTCTTACTCGTAGCCAGCTGGTAGCATATATCCCTTTTATTTCAATTCAAACCCTGGTGGTTATTAGGATTATTTAACCGGTAAGAAGGCAAAGGGGAAAGATTTTTTAGATGCGCTTTTAGTCGTCCATTTTCGGAACATTGTAGTTTTACCAAGGCCGTAACAGTTACTAGCCTACAATAAATACAGTTGCTAGGACATAGACAGCATGGCAACATGTTCTAAGAATATCAAAATATACTTGATTTTCTAGCGTTTACTTAAAAAATCAAAATCTTAGTCAAATAAAAACTATGACCCCCCTGTGTTTACTGGTTGATTCAGAGTCCAGATTAGGCTAGCTGCTTCTAGGATGTTACTAATGTTTGTGCTATGTTGAGCTAGGCTAGCTGCTATTAGCTTCATTTGACCATACTAAGTTCTGAGTGTTAGGCCTGAACACGCTTTTTAGTCTTGTGAATGAGAAGAGACAGCATTGTTACTCTAGGAGCACACGATGACTTTTGAAGTGTAATCAAAGGTATCCACACACAACTGACCTCTAATAGTCTCTTTATAGCTGATAACAAGGTCATACTTATTAGGTTTGGCATAACTTTAATTATGGTTTAATTTGTATTAACTCTACTAAATCATGTAAACATAGACCTGAAAATGTCCCTTGTAATCAGGGGGCTAAATGTTTTTGTCAGACCATTCCTGCTTTAAGCACCTGAACCCTATGGCTAGATTTTGTAACCACACATGTTGACAATGTATCATGGTATCTGTTTGGTGTGTTGCCTGTATAGAAGACTGCAGAGGTTTTAAGAAGGCTGAATTGACTTTGATTAAAGCCATGATGAGCACACTGGCCACAGCAAGGCGGGGAGGCACACATTTAGGAATGAGCTGTGAAAGTTTGTTTCAGTGACGTAGGATGTTTAAAGATGCATTGGGGTGGCTGTGGCTCAATTGGTAGAGTCGTTTCTCGACTGCAAGGTCGAGGGTTCGATCCCCAGCTCCTGCAGCAACATGTCCGATGTGTCCTTCGGCAAGACACTTAACCCCGACTTGCTCCCTCTGAATGGGATTAGTTACTTCTGATGGTCACGTGACATAGCAACCACCGCCTTCAGTGTGTGAATGGTAGGTGTGACATGTGGTGTAAAAACCCCTAACCCATAAATAAAGGATACATGTATTATCAGCTCAAGTCCATTTACCATTTCAGGCAAATCTTATTATAAACAGGCTACACACACACACATAACCTAGCCCAGGGCGAAGGAGAATTATCACAACATAATGGATACTGACCTCTGCTGTCAAAAGTATACAAATGCAGGAATAAAGACAAACTGTGAAGGAAGAGCTTTGCTGCCGTCATCACTCCCTCTTGAATGGCAGATATTTCAACACAACAACATCCTTCATATGTTATTCAACATGGATTATTTGGATATGTTTATTATAAACAGTTGTTAGTGTCGGTGTGATACCTTAAATATGGATATGTTTTAGATTTGGGCTTGGTTTATAGTGTCAATTTTGAAAAAAATAATAATAATCTGTAAAGTTTACGAACTATAGGTACAACATTATTTCAGCAGTATGTATGTGCACTTGAAATACTTCAGATGACATAAACTGACCCATATCAAACCATAGTATTAATGATAAAACATTCTTAAACACAGTAGGGCTTTGTATATATCACTTTCAAACAGTTGTTTTTATTTGATTTAGACAGCTGTAAGTGTGTGTAAAGCACTCTGACAGTTCTTCAGGGTGAAGCCGGACACAACATTTGCCAACTTAGCAACTTTAGGAGGAGCAGGCATTGTGATGACACGCTTGAAATAGCAGCGGCGCCTAGAACAAAAAGAAAAAACACAGCAACATTTGTATTAACAATAAATGTAGATGTTTTCAAATTTGTGTGTGAGCATTATTGGAATAAAACCTGACAATTGTATTTGTCAGGTTCAAAAAGAAATTTGCAGACAAAAATCCCTTTGAATTGCTTTTGTAAGAGGTTGAACTGCACCACCTCAAGTCATAAATTAGAGTCAAGAGCCTCTTTAATCTTACCTGTCATTTTTCACACCTCCCAAACTTATAAAAAAAATGGTGGTACAGTAATTAACTCAGGGAAAACATCAAAGCACCATAAGTCACTTATGACTGCAACTTTCAACCAGGAGAAGATGTCATCAGGTGGTCACCAACTTTCACCGGATGTTTCAACCCAGTCCTCCAGTCTGCAGTGATGGCCAGTCACAGCCCATCTTCTCCTGGTTTCCAACTCCTCTCCTCCTGCCTCAACCAAAGCCAGCAAGAGGCTCTCTTTGCTGCCTCCTCCAACCTGCGAGCATGCTGCCTTCCTCTCCCTTCCTACTATTCCTAGGGCTGTAAGTGTGTCCCATACAGACTGCACAGAGAAACCCCTGCAGCTAACTTCCACTGGGAATAGCCAGGCCTGCCATCCTTTTTCCCTGCACTGCTGGACCAGGTCAAAGTATCTGGTGGCTTTCCTCTCGGATGCCTCCTCCCAGCCATAGTCCCATGGGGCCGTCAGTTAAATCAGGATGATCTTCTTTCCCTCCTTGGACCATAGGACCACATCAGGCTTCAGGGGTGTTTGGACGACTTCAGGGATGTTGAGCTTCTTTCCCAGGTTCACCCTCTGCCATTCATAGACCGTCTGCAGGAGGCTCCTTCTTGGTCTTCTTGGAGGAGGCTGGCTTCTCCCCCTCCCCAACAAACTTTATAGATGTTATTGGTCTCTCATGGGTTTGTTGTTTCCTTTGTCTCTACAGCTCTAAGACCTCGGTGAGTACCCTGAGGACCAATTGTCGAGGCTCCACCTGTATCTCCCCTGGCTATATACTATGACAGTATGTATGCTAGTGTCCCTCAACCTCCACATAACCTGCACAGTGGGTCCTCCTTCATTTCCCACCTGTGCAGGTTTCTCAGAGTTGGAAGGGTGTCATACACTGACTGAAGCAGGAAAGAGATGCGGAAGGGCCAATTGCCAATTCCTGATACAATGTGATGTTGATATTTTACTTGATTTGTTTTTTTAAATCACATTTTCATTCATCATGCATAAAAAAATACTGTACCATTTGTTAGGGTTATGAAAGAGTTCATTGACGTATGTGTAGAACTGGCAGTTGGCATCCTCAGAACATTTCCTCTGACATGTTTCTGCATCATCCATCAGCTCAAAGCCAATGTCAGAACCTCGGAAATCAACATCTTCTAGAGCTTCCTTTATCCAGCCTGTTTGTAGAGAGAGGAACAGAGTTAACCTTCTCCTGCTAATGAATATACAGGGATTCAACATCAAAAAATAAACTCAAAGGTTATCTCAATTAACACTCGTGTCCTAAAAAATGCAAAATTGTTCAGGTTTGATTTGTATGTGAAGGTTCTCAGTCACCATGGTCCTGGTTGAAGTTCTTGGAGATTTATAACCTTACCTCTGAAAGTCTGAAACTGAAGGTGCACTTCAGAGGAGAAGTGAAGCATCTTAAGAACTTATACCAATCATTGATTTATTGAATCATTAAATGTATTGTCTGGTTTTGATTTAAAGTTGTCTGTTCATAATACAAAGATTAAACTTGACAAACCCTGCTTTGGTTAATTTGTGTTTATATGCTTAGAGGTCTGGCAGAGTGCTGTAAATCAATCATCTTTCATTTTTATAAAGTTACTTAAGATATCACAGTTTACATATACGGTGGGTTCAGACCACACTTCTTATGCCATCATTTACAGAGACTTAACTTAATCCTGCTAACACAACAATGCAGGCCACAGGCAATTGAATTCAAGCCAAGCCAGTTTTGTCCGCCACTTGGGCTAAACAACTCTGTGAGAATTCGAGTGAAGGGGGGTTGCAGGTGTGTCGCTGGAGGAGAGCGGAGAACGGTGCATGGTCTCATGCTGGTACTCAAGGGCAAAATCAACTGGATCAAAAAGTTACACATTCTTCCTTTAAGCGAGGCGCATGGTGCAAAGTGTTTGGTGTAAGTGGTATGACTTAACGTACATAGGTGTGTTTTGGGCACAACATGTTAATCAACAATCGGATTGTCAGCACTCATTGCCTTTAAGAGCCAGGTGCACCTGCATGCTGGAGCGTTGCGATCTACACAGTAGATATCAGGATTTATTCTTACATAGACCGATTTCTGGTTGGGACTCATTGAACTTCACTTACTGCTGGTGGACTGAAGTTATATATCACTGAAGCATAAAAATGTACCTACAACTGATTGGTCTGAAAACACCTCGGGTTAATGTTGATCACTGGTACTTACTGTTATTCAGCTGACAGAAGCGTTCTGGTAATCCAGAGGTGACTCCTGCTTTAGCCACGGTCACCATTTCATTTACGTTACTCTTCAGGTTACACGTGAAGCTTTCACTACATAAACAAAATGGATATATTGGAAAAAAATATATTTTAAGAAAAGTACAGATCACATTTAACGAAAAATAACTAACGCTATTTCTTCTTTGTCATGTACGAAACTTCTCATTTTTCTGTGACAGAAAAACAGTTACAAAAATATTTCCCTCCTTGAAAAACTTCTGTCAAACAAACCCTACCGTATAAAAACGAAAAAGGTGCAGGATGGATGTGCGGAGCACAGCATCTGACAGTGTTCAGCAGAGGAGGCGGGCAGAGCCTGTAGGCTGTTTCCTGGGATGGCAGTGTTGTGAAAAAGCTTGCCCTGACAGGCTGAACAAAAGACGGGCAAAATATAAGACAAAATGAGAATACAATTATCTTATAATTTAGTTATACGTTTTAGTGAATTTTTCTGTACCTGTGTCAAAGTTTAGGCCCATTTGTGTTTTGTGGGAGAATCCAGACACTACACTGGCCTTCCCTTCAACAAGAGGTGGCCTGGGGATTGTCCAGCTGAACTTGAGGTGACACTTGTACCTTAAACAGACCAGACATAACATAATAAGGTAACTGTTGTTGAATTGAACTTTAGAACTTGCGATTACTACCGTAAACTGCAAAATACATTCACATTGATTTTCTCAATCAGCTTGAACACATTCAAATTTAAAATTTCATGCCTATCCAAATGTCTATAACATTACTAAAATAAAGTGCTAACTGTTGTTTGTTTTGAGCCCTTTTGTGCAAAATATAAATATCAGGTATTGGTTCATGAACATAGTTTTTGCTTTTCCATTAAACCATTCTAGACAAAGAGGGAGCAACAAGAAAGCATGATTAAAATAGAACCTGTCTAATAGCAGAAACTGTAAAAATATGGCATTCAAGTTTTTTGTGTCATTTATTAAATTTAGGAAATTTAGTATGTCATATCCATATTATCATTGTGGCACTTCTAGCCTTAAAACCTTGTTAACAAGCATATACAAAAGCAAAGTAATTACTGCCTCAGTTTTCTTAGCTGCACATGCACTTATTTTAGTGCATGTGCAGGAGGGGGGTTGGATAGTGCCTTGCTCAAGGGCACTTCTGCAGTGCTCAGGAAGTGAACTGGCACATCTTTACTAGACAAATTTCCAGACTTGGTCCGCACCAGAACTTGATCCGCTGACCCTCCTTTTTCCAACCCGAGTCCCTACAGACTCAGCTACTTCCACCCCACATAACATTGTATGATGCAATATATTGTGATTAATGTTTGTTGTAATGTAACACTATGTGAATCCAGTGTACCTCATATAGTCTGATGTGAAGACATCATTCACAAAAGTGAAGAACTGACAGGATGGGTCCTGTGTGCAGGCTCTCTGACAGCTCTCATAGTCAGCTGTGAATAATGTCTGGTAGTCTGCACCAAAGAAGTCGACATTCTGGTAAACCTTAGACAGACAGGGCTCTAGCAGACACACAGAGAGATAACAGGAGAGGGGAATGTGATCATGCAGCACCATTCACAATATGTCCGGTCATTATTTTAAACTGTAGTGAACTTACGTGGGACTGGGTTGCAGGGTTTCAGAGAGAAGCCTGAAGTAACGCCCAGCAGTGGAGCCCTCTTATTTGGCACTCCAGAGGGAGTGGACTTCAAGTAACAGTAGAAGTGCCTGTGGAGAGAGGGGCAGAATTGTTTTCCTTTTGTGTGTGTGTGTGTGTGTGTGTGTGTGTGTGTCAAGATAATGTACAGCTCTGACAGAGTTATTGAACTACATGTTTGCAGAGAGGGATTGTATAATTCCCACATTTATTGTAACAGCAGGACGGCATCAACTTCAAACTTAAAAGTAACTTCTGTATGTCGACAGTTTTAACTTTTTGTCATGACCTCTTTGATACTGCAACTTTGAGAATTCAAGACTTCAAAATATATTTGAAGGGTCTTGAAATGTTTTCTGCTCATTACATTACATGATTAAAAACACAATACTCATCCTTTTAATACTTATTTTGTTATTTCCTACCCGTTATCTCTGGTCCAGTCTGACCGAATAAAAGTGAAAAACTGGCAGGAGGGGTGCTGGGTGCAAAGGTGCTGACAGTGCTCAGCATCAGGAGAGTAGAGATGTTGTATATCTGTTCCTGGGAAATCCTCATTCTCCTGAAACTCTTCATTACACTCTAAAGAAAAAACACACATTTACAAAATGCTCAAAAATAACTACACACACATGTAATAAATGCTAGTACATATACAGAAAGGGGTATAATTGACACTAAGACACACAACTTTTAGTGTAATATTTACATTGTGTGTGTATTACCTGAACTGAAGCAGAGGCCGCACAGGGAGAGCAGACCCAACAAAATCAGATAGGTTCTCATGATCGTCGCAGCTTTGATGACAGTCACACACAACAAAGCTTTTCGAGTCACAAACACATCGATGAGATGCTCTGGAGCTTCAGACTGGCCAAAGGACTGGGATCAACCCCTGAATTTAATGTCTGATCTATTTGCACAGCTATTGACACGCAAACTGATTGGCTCCCCACAACAGATTTATATAATCAGTTATATAATCAGTTGCCCAAATTGAACCCTCGAACCTTTAAAAAGGGCTTTCCTCCTCTTTTCCCCATGCCTGGGTTGGCTTCAGTCCAAAATGTGACCCAACATACATGCACATGCAAATCAAGACCTATGGACATGCATTAATGGAAAGATGTCAGAGTGCTCCACATTACTACTGAGGGTGCACTTTTGTTAATTCAACTTGGGTCTGACAGACCAGCATCTGGAGCATAATCTGCACTCCTGCCTTTGAACAATCGAGATCAAGTTTCACTCCAAAATCTTTTTTACCCAGTCGACCAAGGTAGACGCTTGTGGGCAGCTGAGAATTATCCTGTCCCTGCTGGAGAGCGAAATTCTGTTACTGTTATGATTTCACCAAAGGATGGACTGAGGTGCAACACAACAAACACATGAAGGTGGTTTGTTGTCCAAAAAAGAAAGAAGAGGTTGTGACAGGCAGGCAAAAACACTTAGACAAAAAACGATATTGATAATGTATGAAACTATGAAAATAAAAAAAACTCAAGAAAATCCAAACAAACTTCTTCAGCCAAAAGGGCTGACTCAAACTACCACTATCAGTAAGTAGACGACCTGTGTCTGATTGGATGAAAGACCGGCTTTATATTCACTGCAGCCTTGATTGTGGATGGGAAACAGGCGTGCAGAAGGAGGTGGAGACGCTTGACCAGGGGTGCATTCGAATTGTCTTTTTTTGCTAAGGAAGGTTCCTAACTGATTGAAATGGCCTGCAAGCATCTAAGTGGCGGCCATGATAAGAATTTTTTTAGCGAGATTATGTTTTATTCAACATAGTTCATTCACTTAAGAATGCTTTTTGCAGTTATATATCTTGCATAAATGTAATAATTTTCTTCACACAATCATACTTAATTGGGATTAATGTTGAGGACAGGAAGGTGAGCGTGAGCAACCATTCTCGATGTGACAACCATTTGGTTTCACTTCTCTTACTCGTAGCCAGCTGGTAGCATATTTCCCTTTTATTTCAATTCAAACCCTGGTGGTTATTAGGATTATTTAACCGGTAAGAAGGCAAAGGGGAAATCTTTTCGTAGTCCATTTTCGGAACATTGTAGTTTTACCAAGGCAGACCCACGTCATTAACCTCCGCCGTCGCATAAGTACGTAGCCTAGTGGAAATGCGGTCGGATTCTCAGAGCAATGGTGTCACCTTTCCCTTAGTCCTTTATGAATTCTCCTAACATCTTTCCTTAACCTCATGACGTTTTCCCCTGGGTTAAGGTAAAGAAGATAGTGAAAGGAGATCGGCGGGACAATCCCAATCCACCCCAGGTAAACAGAAGACTGGACTGGATAGTGATGAGCCATGCCTGCCACACAGACAAACACAGACAGAGAGGTAGGAACAGACCGACGCAAGGAGGGTGGGGAAACACAAGAAAACACAGGGAAAGTTGAGATTGCGACCATGGCCGTAACAGTTACTAGCCTACAATAAACACAGTTGTTAGGACATAGACAGCATGGCACCATGTTCTAAGAATTTCAAAATATACTTGATTTTCTAGTATTTACTTCAAAATCAAAATCTTAGTCAAATAAAAACTATGACCCCCCCCTGTGTTTACTGGTTGATTCAGAGTCCAGATTTAAATCAACAATCAAGCACCAAGACCTTGGACTTATTAGCATGAGCTATGTTTAACCTCAAATTAAAATGAGTTTAATTTTCTGTATACATTCGTTATTACAACCAGATGGCAATGTGTCCCTGAATTTTAACTTTATGCTTATTTAAAAAAAAAAACATTTCTTACATGATGTCAGTAATCACCATTTAGTCAGGTTTGGATCACAGGGTGAATGACTTAAAAGCCAAATGATGTCCTGATAACGTGTGGCCCAAAGGAACCTATCCCAACATGTGTATCAAAAGGGCTGATGTCTTCTTTTTTGGTGTATATATATATATATATATATATATATATGTGTTTATATACCTGATGGCCAAATGTCTGAAAGAGCAGAACAAAGACAGTAAAGACATTTAAATAAAATGACAAGGTGAATTTCAGCTTTACTTTCAGAGACCTTTATTTATCTGTTTGGTAAAATATGTTGGTATAGAAACCTTTAATTACATTGCTCCCTTTGTTTAAAGCCTGTGTTGAGCATGTTTCAGTAAAAGCTGGAATGGAAGAAGACTTTGATGATAACAACAAGGTTTTCAATAAAGCACCAGCAGAAACTTCGTTTTTATTGTATTTGGTTACAGCATATAAAGTCTTACTTGTAGTGGAAATCGAAAACTAATTATGTTACCAGAATAATGGCAGTAACAGTAAATGCACATTATTTTTTTTTCAAATAATGCACACAGCTAAAGTAGTGCAAAGCAAGGAGTGATCACACATCAGGAGCAGGTCCAGTGTGTCAGATAGTGCTGGAGTCTTAGAGGTCCTTCAGTAGGTCCTGTCCAGGGGTCTCGAGCCAGGTAGGAGGCCAGCTGGCTTTGATGCTGGGCCGCTCCTTCAGACAGTTATAGTAAGCTGCCAGTTTAGGATAACGCTCTTCGGATAACCTAAAACGCGAGGAAAAGTGAATGGAAGGTTCACATTACAAATATACGGCTGCTTGGTAACATGCAGGAAATTATGATAACTTACCCAAAGCGGAAGAGATAAGCGATGCTTGGGAAAACAGCCACATCAGCCAGGGTGAAGCACTTTCCTGCCAGGAAACAGCATGACTCCTGTCCTGATGCACAAATCTGAAAACCAAGATAATTGTATCAGCTGATGAAAATAGCTGCAACTATTATTCCAAAAATAATATATCAACATGTTAGTTGTACAGATAGATAAATTATAAAGTAGGTGCTTGTGTCAATTTAACATATAGCTGAGCATTTTGGAGGGAACTTTTTCAATGTCTTGCAGCGATTTAAATGAGAATAGTGACATCAATTTAACCAAAACACGTGAAGCTTTAGAAAAAAAAGATAAGGCTAGCTTAACCGAAACAGCCTAGAGCAGCTAGCATGGCTCTGTCCTAAAGTAGCCTAACTAAGGCGCAAAAAAACTCAGCTCGAGTTGCCTTCAAATGCCATTGTATTGTTTTTGTTTAACTGGCGTAAAACTATTGTGTCAATAATATTTGTAATCATTTTATTATAATCATTTTCTGCAATATTTCTTGGTTTCCCCGCTGTCAACTTTTAGATTTTCACCCACAATCGCTAGGCTAGCTGCTTCTAGGACGTTACTAATGTTTGTGCTATGTTGAGCTAGGCTAGCTGCTATTAGCTTCATTTGACCATACTAAGTTCTGAGTGTTAGACCTAAACACGATTTTTAGTCTTGTGAATGAGAAGAGACAGCATTGTTACTCTAGGAGCACACGATGACTTTTGAAGTGTAATCAAAGGTATCCACACACAACTAACCTCTAATAGTCTCTTTATAGCTGATAACAAGGTCATACTTATTAGGTTTGGCATAACTTTAATTATGGTTTAATTTGTATTAACTCTACTAAATCATGTAAACATAGACCTGAAAATGTCCCTTGTAATCAGGTGGCTAAATGTTTTTGTCAGACCATTCCTGCTTTAAGCACCTGAACCCTATGGCTAGATTTTGTAACCACACATGTTGACAATGTATCATGGTATCTGTTTGGTGTGTTGCCTGTATAGAAGACTGCAGAGGTTTTAAGAAGGCTGAATTGACTTTGATTAAAGCCATGATGAGCACACTGGCCACAGCAAGGCGGGGAGGCACACATTTAAGAATGAGCTGTGAAAGTTTGTTTCAGTGACATAGGATGTTTAAAGATGCATTGGGGTGGCTGTGGCTCAATTGGTAGAGTCGTTTCTCAACTGGAAGCTCGAGGGTTCGATCCCCAGCTCCTGCAGCAACATGTCCGATGTGTCCTTCGGCAAGACACTTAACACCGACTTGCTCCCTCTGAATGGGATTAGTTACTTCTGATGGTCACGTGACATAGCAACCACCGCCTTCAGTGTGTGAATGGTAGGTGTGACATGTGGTGCAAAAACCCCTAACCCATAAATAAAGGATAAATGTATTATTAGCTGAAGTCCATGTACCATTTCAGGCAAATCTTATTATAAACAGGCTACACACACACACATAACCTAGCCCAGGGCAAAGGAGAATTATCACAACATAATGGATACTGACCTCTGCTGTCAAAAGTATACAAGTGCAGGAATAAAGACAAACTGTGAAGGAAGAGCTTTGCTGCTGTCATCACTCCCACTTGAACGGCAGATAATTAACAACAACATCCTTCATATGTTATTCAACATGGATTATTTGGATATGTTTATTATAAACAGTTGTTAGTGTGATACCTTAAATATGGATATGTTTTAGATTTGAGCTTGGTTTATAGTGTCAATTTTGAAGAAAAAAAAAAAATCATAAATTTACTAACAATAGGTACAACATTATTTCAGCAGTATGTATGTGCACTTGAAATACTTCAGATGACATAAACTGACCCATATCAAACCATAGTATTAATGATAAAACATTCTTAAACACAGTAGGGCTTTGTATATATCACTTTCAAACAGTTATTTTTATTTGATTTAGACAGCTGTAAGTGTGTGTAAAGCACTCCGACAGTTCTTCAGGGTGAAGCCGGACACAACATTTGCCAGCTGAGCAACTTTAGGAGGAGCAGGCATTGTGATGACACGCTTGAAATAGCAGCGGCGCCTAGAACAAAAAGAAAAAACACAGCAACATTCATATTAACAATAAATGTAGATGTTTTCAAATTTGTGTGTGAGCATTATTGGAATAAAACCTGACAATTGTATTTGTCAGGTTCAAAAAGAAATTTGCAGACAAAAATCCCTTTGAATTGCTTTTGTACGAGGTTGAACTGCACCACCTCATGTCATAAATTAGACTCAAGAGCCTCTTTTATTTTTTTTACCTGTCATTTTTCACACCTCCCAAACTTAGAAAGAATGGTGATACAGTAATTAAATCAGGGAAAACATCAAGTTAGATCAGATCTTGCACTCTCTTGCACACTTGCCTCTCTTGACCATTATATGATACATAGAAATGCCGGCACCATAAGTCACTTAGGACTGCAACTTTCAACCAGGAGAAGATGTCGTCAGGTGGTCACCAACTTTCATCGGATGTTTCGACCCTGAACCACAACATCCTCCAGTTGGTGGGTCTGCAGTGATGGCCAGTCACGGCCCATCTTCTCCTGGTTTCCAGCTCCTCTCCTCCCGCCTGAACCAAAGCCAGCAAGAGGCTCTCTCTGCTGCCTCCTCCAACCTGCGAGCATGCTGCCTTCCTACTATTCCTAGGGCTGTAAGTGTGTCCCATACAGACTGCACAGAGAAACCCCTGCAGCTAACTTCCACTGGGAATAGCCAGGCCTGCCACCCTTTTCCCTGCATTGCTGGACCAGGTCAAAGTATCTGGTGGCTTTTCCTCTCCTTCATTTCCCACCTGTGCAGGTTTCTCAGAGTTGGAAGGGTGTCATACACTGACCGAAGCAGGAAAGAGATGCAGAAGGGCTAATGGCCAAAATTCCTGATACAATGTGATGTTGATATTTTACTTGATTTGTTTTTTTAAATCACATTTTCATTCATCATGCATAAAAAAATACTGTACCAGTAGTTAGGGTTATGAAAGAGTTCATTGACGTATGTGTAGAACTGGCAGTTGGCATCCTCAGAACATTTCCTCTGACATGTTTCTGCATCATCCATCAGCTCAAAGCCAATGTCAGAACCTCGGAAATCAACATCTTCTAGAGCTTCCTTTATCCAGCCTGTTTGTAGAGAGAGGAACAGAGTTAACCTTCTCCTGCTAATGAATATACAGGGATTCAACATCAAAAAATAAACTCAAAGGTTATCTCAATTAACACTCGTGTCCTAAAAAATGCAAAATTGTTCAGGTTTGATTTGTATGTGAAGGTTCTCAGTCACCATGGTCCTGGTTGAAGTTCTTGGAGATTTATAACCTTACCTCTGAAAGTCTGAAACTGAAGGTGCACTTCAGAGGAGAAGTGAAGCATCTTAAGAACTTATACCAATCATTGATTTATTGAATCATTAAATGTATTGTCTGGTTTTTATTTAAAGTTGAAAGTTGTCTGTTCATAATACAAAGATTAAACTTGACAAACCCTGCTTTGGTTAATTTGTGTTTATAGGCTTAGAGGTCTGGCAGAGTGCTGTAAATTAATCATCTTTCATTTTTATAAAGTTACTTAAGATATCACAGTTTACATATACGGTAGGTTCAGACCACACTTCTTATGCCATCATTTACAGAGACTTAACTTAATCCACCAATGAACAAGGACTCTGTACAATGGCAAAGTAAAGCTCCCTTTAAAAAGACAGAATCCTTGAGTGGAATCACACTCATTGGGTCTTGCTGACCCAAGAAAGTGGAAGAGAGGAAGAAATCTTTTGTGATCGTAATAGCTGACAATGACATGTTTTATATGAAAATATTTAAAAAGTTGACGGCGTGAAGCGCACTGTCAAAAGTGTGTGGGTGCAAAGTGATGTGTTGCATCTCTGACTGTTTTGCTATTAACGCAATGTACAATATTGGTGTTAAAGGAAGAATGTGCGACATTTTACATATAACAGAAATCAAGTTATGTCTCTGAGTCCTGACTGTCGACAATGAGTGAGAAGCGCGAGTCAAGGACTAGAGAAAAGAATAATAACATAGACTACTGACTGCTTATTTGAATGTCACATGAGCGTTTTTAAATCGCGGTTATTCTGTCACTTTATATTTAAAGTGAAGCTACAAGCTAGGAGTGCTTTCATTAGCCTGCTAACACAACAATGCAGGCCACAGGCAATTGCATCTCAAGCCAAAGCCAGTTTTGTCCGCCACTTGGGCTAAACAACTCTGTGAGAATTCGAGTGAAGGGGGGTTGCAGGTGTGTCGCTGGAGGAGAGCGGAGAATGGTGCATGGTCTCATGCTGGTACTCAAGGGCGACATCAACTGGATCAAAAAGTTACACATTCTTCCTTTAAGCGAGGTGCATGGTGCAAAGTGTTTGGTGTAAGTGGTATGACTTAACGTACATAGGTGTGTTTTGGGCACAACATGTTAATCAACAATCGGATTGTCAGCACTCATTGCCTTTAAGAGCCAGGTGCACCTGCATGCTGGAGCGTTGCTATCTACACAGTAGATATCAGGATTTATTCTTACATAGACCGATTTCTGGTTGGGACTCATTGAACTTCACTTACTGCTGGTGGACTGAAGTTATATATCACTGAAGCATAAAAATGTACCTACAACTGATTGGTCTGAAAACACCTCGGGTTAATGTTGATCAGTGGTACTTACTGTTATTCAGCTGACAGAAGCGTTCTGGTAATCCAGAGGTGACTCCTGTGTTAGCCACGGTCACCATTTCATTTACGTTACTCTTCAGGTTACACGTGAAGCTTTCACTACATAAACAAAATGGATATATTGGAAAAAAATATATTTTAAGAAAAGTACAGATCACATTTAACGAAAAATAACTAACGCTATTTCTTCTTTGTCATGTACGAAACTTCTCATTTTTCTGTGACAGAAAAACAGTTACAAAAATATTTCCCTCCTTGAAAGACGTCTGTCAAACAAACCCTACCGTGTAAAAACGAAAAAGGTGCAGGATGGATGTGCGGAGCACAGCATCTGACAGTGTTCAGCAGAGGAGGCGGGCAGAGCCTGTAGGCTGTTTCCTGGGATGGCAGTGTTTTGAAAAAGCTTGCCCTGACAGGCTGAACAAAAGACGGGCAAAATATAAGACAAAATGAGAATACAATTATCTTATAATTTAGTTATACGTTTTAGTGAATTTTTCTGTACCTGTGTCAAAGTTTAGGCCCATTTGTGTTTTGTGGGAGAATCCAGACACTACACCGGCCTTCCCTTCAACAAGAGGTGGCCTGGGGATTGTCCAGCTGAACTTGAGGTGACACTTGTACCTTAAACAGACCAGACATAACATAATAAGTTAACTGTTGTTGAATTGAATTTTAGAACTTGCGATTACTACCGTAAACTGCAAAATACATTCACATTGATTTTCTCAATCAGCTTGAACACATTCAAATTTAAAATTTCATGCCTATCCAAATGTCTATAACATTACTAAAATAAAGTGCTAACTGTTGTTTGTTTTGAGCCCTTTTGTGCAAAATATAAATATCAGGTATTGGTTCATGAACATAGTTTTTGTTTTTCCATTAAACCATTCTAGACAAAGAGGGAGCAACAAGAAAGCATGATTAAAATAGAACCTGTCTAATAGCAGAAACTGTAAAAATATGGCATTCAAGTTTTTTGTGTCATTTATTAAATTTAGGAAATTTAGTATGTCATATCCACATTATCATTGTGGCACTTCTAGCCTTAAAACCTTGTTAACAAGCATATACAAAAGCAAAGTAATTACTGCCTCAGTTTTCTTAGCTGCACATGCACTTATTTTAGTGCATGTGCAGGAGGGGGGTTGGATAGTGCCTTGCTCAAGGGCACTTCTGCAGTGCTCAGGAAGTGAACTGGCACATCTTTACTAGACAAATTTCCAGACTTGGTCCGCAATGGAACTTGATCCGCTGACCCTCCTTTTTCCAAACTGAGTCCCTACGGACTCAGCTACTTCCACCCCACATAACATTGTATGATGCAATATATTGTGTTTAATGTTTGTTGTAATGTAACACTATGTGAATCCAGTGTACCTGATAGTTTCTGGTGTGAAGACATAATTCACAAAAGTGAAGAACTGACAGGATGGGTCCTGTGTGCAGGCTCTCTGACAGCTCTCATAGTCAGCTGTGAATAATGTCTGGTAGTCTGCACCAAAGAAGTCGACATTCTGGTAAACCTTAGACAGACAGGGCTCTAGCAGACACACAGAGAGATAACAGGAGAGGGGAATGTGATCATGCAGCACCATTCACAATATGTCCGGTCATTATTTTAAACTGTAGTGAACTTACATGGGACTGTGTTGCAGGGTTTCAGAGAGAAGCCTGAAGTAACGCCCAGCAGTGGAGCCCTCTTATTTGGCACTCCAGAGGAAGTGGACTTCAAGTAACAGTAGAAGTGCCTGTGGAGAGAGGGGCAGAATTGTTTTCCTTTTGTGTGTTTGTGTGTGTGTGTGTGTGTGTGTGTGTGTGTGTGTGTGTGTGTGTGTGTGTGTGTGTGTGTGTGTGTGTGTGTGTGTGTGTGTGTGTGTGTGTGTGTGTCAAGAAAATGTACAGCTCTGACAGAGTTATTGAACTACATGTTTGCAGAGAGGGATTGCATAATTCCAAAAGTCAACACAAAGCTACATGCTATCATAAACATAAGGAAAACAGTTAGCTCCTACATTTAGCATTAGCTAAGAGCACATGAAAGACAAAAACAACTAAAAGTTTCTGACTTGAATTTTGTATTAATATCTCGACATTTTCACAATGAACTGAACATAAAACGTACAGACAAATGGTCTCCAAGGCAGAAGCGTAGTAGAAAACCATTCAGCAGCAAGTCTATGGCAGCAACATGTATCCTCTGTCTGTCTCTGTCCTTCTGACTGCTTCATTGCAGCATGTGACTTAATGAACTAATTACCCACAATGACCCATAGATGGCAGTATAAACCATGAACTAATGTAAAAATGAAATGTTTTTAATTTTTTAAATCTAACTTTTAATGACAACATTATAGCAACATTATATTACTACAAATGCAACAAGACTTAAAGACTCAAGATAATGTACAGCTCTGACAGAGTTATTGAACTACATGTTTGCAGAGAGGGATTGCATAATTCCCACATTTATTGTAACAGCAGGACGGCATCAACTTCAAACTTAAAAGTAACTTCTTTATGTCGACAGTTTTAACTTTTTGTCATGACGTCTTTGATACTGCAACTTTGAGAATTCAAGACTTCAAAATGTATTTGAAGGGTCTTGAAATGTTTTCTGCTCATTACATTACATTATTAAAAACACAATACTCATACTTTTAATACTTATTTTGTTATTTCCTACCTGTTATCTCTGGTCCAGTCTGACCGAATAAAAGTGAAAAACTGGCAGGAGGGGTGCTGGGTGCAAAGGTGCTGACAGTGCTCAGCATCAGGAGAGTAGAGATGTTGTATATCTGTTCCTGGGAAATCCTCATTCTCCTGAAACTCTGCATTACACTCTAAAGAAAAAACACACATTTACAAAACGCTCAAAAATAACTACACACACACATGTAATAAATGCTAGTACACATACAGAAAGGGGTATAATTGACACTAAGACACACAACTTTTAGTGTAATATTTACATTGTGTGTGCATTACCTGAACTGAAGCAGAGGCCGCACAGGGAGAGCAGACCCAACAAAATCAGATAGGTTCTCATCATCGCAGCTTTGATGACAGTCACAGACGACAAAGCTTTTCGATGAGATGCTCTGGAGCTTCAGACTGGCCAAAATCAACCTCTGAATTTGTATGTCTGATCTACTTGCACAGCTATTGTTGACACGCAAACTGATTGGCTCCTCACAACAGATTTATATAATCAGTTGCCCAAATTGAACCCTTGAACCTTTAAAAGGGCTTTCCTCATCTTTTCCCCATGCCTGGGTTGGCTTCAGTCCAAAATGTGACCCGACATACATGCACATGCAAATCAGGACCTATGGATAATCATTGATGGAAAGATGTCAGAGTGGGGATTTTACTGCCCTTTCTGCACATTCCAAAGTACAGGATTTGACAGCCAGATAACACTCAAACAAAAGTCAACACAAAGCTACATGTTATCATGAACATGAGGAAAACAGTTAGCTACTACATTTAGCATTAACTAAGAGCACATGAAAGACAAAAACAACTACAAGTTTCTGACTTGAATTTTGTGTTAATATCTCAACATTTTTACAATGAACTGAACATAAAACGTACAGACAAATGGTCTCCAAGGCAGAAGCGTAGTAGACAACCATTCAGCAGCAAGTCTATGGCAGCAACATGCATCCTCTGTCTGTCTCTGTCCTTCTGACTGCTTCATTGCAGCATGTGACTTAATGAACTAACTACCCACAATGACCCATAGATGGCAGTATAAACCATGAACTAATGTAAAAATGAAATGTTTTTAATCTTTTAAATCTAACTTTTTATGACATCTTTTATTGACTAACATTTTTAACTTAATTCAAATTACTGACTTCAAAATAAAGGCAGCACAGAGATGCAACACAAGAAAACACAGGGAAAGTAGAGGTTGCGGCCAAGGCCGTAACAGTTACTAGCCTACAATAAACACAGTTGTGAGGACATAGACAGCATGGCAACATGTTTTAAGAATATCAAAAATATACTTGATTTTCTAGTGTTTACTTCAAAAAGCTAAATCTTAGTCAAATAAAAACTTTGACCCCCCTTTGTTTACTAGTTGATTCAGAGTCCAGATTTAAATCAACAAGACTTTGGACTTGTTAGCATGAGCTATGTTTAACCTCTAATTAAAATGCATTTTAATTTTCTGTATTACGACCAGATGGCAATGTGTCCCTGAAGTTTAACTTAATGCTTATTTAAGAAAGAAAAAAAAAAAAACAACACATTTCTTACATCTTTGATGTCAGTAATCACCATTTAGTCACGTTTGGATCACAGGGTGAATGACTTAAAAGCCAAATGATGGCCTGATAATGTGTGGCCCAAAAGAACCGATCTCAACATGTGTATCAAAGGGCTGATGTCTTTTTTGTAGGTGTATATATACCTGATACCCAAATGTCTGAAAGAGCAGAACGAAGACATTTAAATAAAATGACAGAAAAAAAAAAAAACAGGACAAGGTGAATTTCAGCTTTACTTTCGGAGACCTTTATTTATCCGTTTGGTAAAATATGTTGGTATAGAAACCTTTAATTACATTACTCCCTTTGTTTAAAGCCTGTGTTGAGCATGTTTCAGTAAAAGCTGGAATGGAAGAAGACTTTGATGATAACAACAAGGTTTTTAATAAAGCACCAGCAGAAACTTCGTTTTTATTGTATTTGGTTACAGCATATAAAGTCTTACTTGTAGTGGAAATCGAAAACTAATTATGTTACCAGAATAATGGCAGTAACAGTAAATGTACATTATTTTTTTCCAAATAATGCACACAGCTAAAGTAGTGCAAAGCAAGGAGTGATCACACATCAGGAGCAGGTCCAGTGTGTCAGATAGTGCTGGAGTCTTAGAGGTCCTTCAGTAGGTCCTGTCCAGGGGTCTCGAGCCAGGTAGGAGGCCAGCTGGCTTTGATGCTGGGCCGCTCCTTCAGACAGTTATAGTAAGCTGCCAGTTTAGGATAACGCTCTTCGGATAACCTAAAACGCGAGGAAAAGTGAATGGAAGGTTCACATTACAAATATACGGCTGCTTGGTAACATGCAGGAAATGATGATAACTTACCCATAGCGGAAGAGATAAGCGATGCTTGGGAAAACAGCCACATCAGCCAGGGAGAAGCACTTTCCTGCCAGGAAACAGCATGACTCCTGTCCTGATGCACAAATCTGAAAACCAAGATAATTGTATCAGCTGATGAAAATAGCTGCAATTATTATTCCAAAAATAATATATCAACATGTTAGTTGTACAGATAGATAAATTATAAAGTAGGTGCTTGTGTCAATTTAACATATAGCTGAGCATTTTGGAGGGAACTTTTTCAATGTCTTGCAGCGATTTAAATGAGAATAGTGACATCATTTAACCAAAACACGTGAAGCTTTAGAAAAAAAAAAAAAAAGATAAGGCTAGCTTAACCTAAACAGCCTAGAGCAACTAGCATGGCTCTGCCCTAAAGTAGCCTAAGGCGCAAAAAACCTCAGCTCGAGTTGCCTTCATATGCCATTGTATTGTTTTTGTTTAACTGGCGTATAACTATTGTGTCAATAATATTTGTAATCATTTGCCGCAATATTTTTTTGTGTCCCCAACTTTTAGATTTTATACATTTCTAAAGGAAATGTTATGTGATTATAAGACAGAATTACAGTCTGAGAGGCAAGTGTTTCACCCACAGACAGTCGCTATAAGCTAACTGCTTACAGGATGTTACTAGTGTTTGTGCTATGCTAAGCTAGGCTAGCAGCGTCATTTGACCATACTAAGTTCTGAGTGTTAGGCCTATCAATATTCTCATCAGTTATTCTTTGTTCTTGTTGCTTAGTTTCATTTATATGCACTCGTTGCCATGTTTTCTGTTGAGGATCCTGATCTTAGTTTTCAGTAGTTCCTATTTTAGTTTGCAGTTTATTTCCCTGCATAGCAGGTCTATTGTTACTTCCTGTCTCTATGCGTTTCCCTCCAGTTCTGATTGCCTTCAACTGTGTCTGGAGTTCTCTTTTCTGCATGTTGGTCCCACCCTTTAATTACGCAACTTGACAGAATGAGCTGACACAGAAGTGAAGGAACACTGGGACTAACTAGACACAGATGAAGACAATCAGTTCAATCAAAACTGGAGGTAAACGCATAGAGGCTGGAGGAAACAATAGACATGCTACACAGGGAGATAAACTACAAAACAAAGCAGGAAACACTGAAAACTAAACTCGAGAATATCATCAGAAAAATACACAGGAAGTCAAAAAATGTGAATGACAAAATGAAATAAACAACAACAAGGAAAATACAAACTAATCAGAGCATCATAACAGAGGGAGATTGTGATGAAGGTTAAGTCTTGCAGATCCTATGCAGCCCTAAATCTATAGTCTTATATGTTTGTAATGTATTTTAATCATATGTAGGTGTACCTTCTGCAGGTATCCCTCCCACAGCTGGGCCTCAGCTTTGAGAGTCTCTCGGTTTCTCTTCACAGCACTGTCGTGTCTCTCTCCTTCTGGGACCTTATAGTTGTAGTAGATAACACTGGCTGAAAAAAAAAAAAAAAAAAAAAAAAAAAGTAGACAGACAGGCATTCAGTGGGGACAGCGTCTCTCTTGAGGTTTTCAAGATTTATTTTTTTTTAAACATCTGCTACTACAGTATAACTGCTCTCATTTCCTTTGCAGCTGAGGGAGGGTCAGTCTTATGCAACTTAAGTTTTTGAACTGAAGGCAGTACAAATGGCTCAAGTAGAGTGTTAACCATTTTGTAAATGCACAGCTCAATAGCGCATGGCATGTGTTTTAAACAACTCAGGTGTCTTGGAGAGGAGAGGGCAAGATCATGTGGAGTTTCTTCTAGGGAGATTGACTGATGACATGAAGTCTCAGTGGTTCAAAGGTGGCAGTGTGCTGTTTGATGTTGCCAAGAGCAACATAATCCCAAAAGAATGACCTCATAGTGGTAACACAACTTAAGTGAAAGTTGTTCACCAGCCTGGATTGGCTTTAATACCACATGCCTAAAAAAAAAGCTGAGTAAGGCCTGTTTTAGCGACATTAGCATGCAGGGTGAACAGCAGCCTGTATCTCGTCAGCATGGCAACATCAGTGTACATACCCATCTTGTCGGTAAGTGCGAAAGCCTCAAACATGCGCTGGTACATCATGGCCTGCCCCTTAGGACAGTCAGGGATCAGCTTGGTTCCCTGGGACTTGAACTGGCTCTGTTGTTTGAGACATGAACGGAGATACTATAATGAGTAGCTGCATGAAGCTCTGGCTGCTGTTCCTCTGTGGTGTAGGATGTCAGAGGAGGCATTGTTTAACAGAGAACACAAGCAGCCCACCTAATTATTAACTCCTTGTTGGCAGACAGACGGATACAACTTTAATAAAAAAGGGCCAAGTTCTTACCTCCAGGTACATGCAGGCTGCGTAGGACTCATTCAGGACATTATCTCCATGTTTGAAGGCTGGAAGCTTTAAGAAAGAAGGTGTGGAATCAAAACTTAAAGTTCCTTTATTACTTAAAGACATCAACAAAAGTAGATTACATTTTTGCATGTTTGTGGAAAAAAAAAATGCTGACACATTAATCTTTTTTTAAAGGTAATGGAGGGTTGAAAGTAAACTTACCTGTCCCCTGGGATTCATGCACATGACTTCCTGCGACTTGTGCTCCCCTTTCTCAAAGGAGAGCAGTTTCTGGTTGTATCCCTGCAGGTTCTTCTCCTCCAGAGCGATCATCACCCTCCAGCAGGGAGGAGAGCCGGAGCCCCACAGCAGAGTCATGTCCTTGGCCATAGTTGTCAGTGTGAACTGCTAATCCTTACAGCAGCTGAAGTTGTGAATGGTGGAAGAAGGGAAGGGTGAAGCAGGAATGTGGGTGTGTGTGTGTGTGTGTGTGTGTCTGGTTTTATAACAAGCTCTGTGTCAGGATTGGTGGAGTTAAGCCCCATCCCATTTCTTTGTTGGCAGCAAAGCACTGTGACTTCAAGAAGCTCCGATAGTTCACAAACTATCCAAGCACATGAACTCAAACTTCAGAAACTCAGTACCAGCGGGGGTTCAAAATGAAAGGTTGCATGTTTCAGTTGCTGCATTGAAAAATTTGTAAAGTGTCTCTCTTGTTACTTGCTTGCATTTGAATTAGCATAAGCAAAGTCTGATGTGAGGTTCATTGACTTCTCTTGCTTTGTATTAATACTCTTTGATCTATTTGTAAAAAGCAAATGTGGGTCATGGCAAATGGGAATGTCACACTGACATAATTAAACCACCTATAACATGCTTTTTTTTTTTTACTTCTAACCTACTTGTTCCCTGAAGTCAGAACTTTACATCAAAATGTCAAGTTAATGAGTCAATTTCTGCAGTTTCTTTGTGTGCATCGGTTGTCATTACACTTGTCAGTATGTCACTGTTGTGATTGTGCAACTATCATTTGCCGTATTAGTGCTATGTCATTCCAGCGAACTTTAACCCTCTTATAATTTGTATCAGTAGAGACCTGTCAGTAGGTTTCCATTCTGCCAAAGTCATTAACTGGTTAACTAATTTATGCTCATGTCATACTGATATCTGACTGTTGAAAACTCACAGTGACTCAGCACTTTTGGCTCACCCCTGCACACACACACAGAGAAGAAAAAACAGTTCTGGCACAGCTATTCAAATTCACAATCAAATCATAAAGTCATGCAGAATTCACCACCTGTGACATGTAGCCCTGCATTTAAGATTGAGCTGTAAAAAGGTAGCTACCACTTTTCACACTTTATTTTCTTCTTTGTGCCTCTTTCTCCGAGTTTGGGTTTGAACTCCAGATGTGCACCCGAGTATTTACCGCCGACACTGCAATAAAGTGAACTCACTGAGTGTAAATACAACACAATCCGGTCATATATTTAATCATTTTATATCATTATCTGTGCTGGTTTGGTCCTTAGTTTGCATACAGAAAAACAGCTTTCTGCAGAAATCACACGACTAGCATGTGGTTTGCTGAAGAATTTTCCTTCCAGGGATACATTTTACTGCTGCTTGATTGCAGTTAAAGGTCTGGGATTTTCAGTCCAATTTTCTATGCAGAGAGCTTCATCCATATTAAGTGTAGTGTGTTTTGAAGTGAGTGCAACAGCTCACATCTTCTTTTTATGTCAGTTCAAAAGAACACAGTCTGTCTTGGCGAGGAGAAGTTCTTGTGAGTGTGCTTGAGTTTGTTTGTCAGCCTTTTGCTCGACAAGCATGACTTAAGCATTTAGTTTCCGAAGCAAGAACAAAAAGAAATATTTACAGTCAAACTGGTATTCCTGCAGGAGCGATGATTAAAAACCTGTTTCTGCTATTCATGCTTGTCCCAGGGAGGTTTGAAAACATAATCTCATCATCGTATCATTAACCTTGAACTGCAGAGTTTTTTCTTTCTTTTTTAAGTCTGATGTCTTAATTATTGGATATCAGGACAGTAGAGGATTAGTTGCCAGAGATGGATCTTAAAGAAAGCACTTTTGGCCAAATACACATTTTTATTTGACAGAATTCCTTTCCATTGTAGTTTTTTAAAGTGCTTGCATTGCTGTGGTACAAACAGCTGGTGTGATTTGGTATCTCCATGATGGTTATTCTATCTCCAAAAAAAGAAATCGGATAAAAAAGAGCACACGGGATCCCACTTTGCTTAACATTTTTATTGACGCTCTAATCAAATATGTATAACTTCTGTTTGTGTGTGAGGCTTATGAACCCGTGTTCAACAGCATGTCATATTCCTCTATATAGCAGCTGTGTAACTCCATTGTTTTTTAAAGGCTTTTCAACAAAACCATGCAGGGGAGACATTATAGAGGCGTCTCATTTATGCAAAGTCATGACAACACAGGATTTGAATTACCTTTGTGTAGAGCAAACACGGACTGGCACAATCATTCAAACCATAAAACAAATGGGTCATGTCCTGAAAGACTCCCGCACCTCTTTTATATGACATCGCTTCGCTAGATTGATCTCAAAATTGGTGTTTATATAATCATGTTTAACTTTTTACTGGACCTTCTAACCACAAGAATGAACACCTCAGATGTCCCTACCTTCAGCAGTAAAATCTTTAGTTTTTCATATTGAGCTATTAAATCTACAACCACAGAGCAGGATTTGCGGTTAGAGATTTATCTTCAGGGTTACTCTCAATGGTTTTAAGGACAATGAAGGTGGCCTTCATATCAGGATAAATCGCCACGGTGCTCGTCTAACCAGTTCTAGAGCAGGTTACACTTGAGATAAGAGATAAACACGGATTAAAAAAAAACATCCGGGTATGTTGACCTTCTGTGTCGTACAAGCCTCTGATAACAATACAGTGTCTGCTGATCGTTTGTCTCATGTTTGCTGAAATGGACAATTTAGTGGTTTCAAAACAAAGTGACTTTAATAACTGACTTCATATGAACACTTCACACGCACTAAAAGCTGCTGTTTTAATGCATTTATTAGTCAACAGGGATTTGTTCGTTACACATGCCATTTATCTGTTCAACAAAAAGGTGCAATGTTTACAGTATTATAATGTGACATTTTCCTGCAGCCTATGCTTGTTACCCTGCAAACACTACACTCTGCACATTTTAATTTGTAAATCGACTGATTTCTGATGTAAAGATTGGACAGAAACACGCAGCTGTGAAAGAGAAAAAAAAAGGATTTAAAGTTAGCCTGACAAAAAATTAATTATTCTTTTACAACTGTAATACTTTGAGAACACATTTCCGTTCTTGACACTTTCTTCCCTTTTTAAAGCCGGACAAGTAAAGGGTTAGTGTTCTACATTCTACAAACTGTGAAGTTAAGCTACATAAACCAAAAACGCTACAGGCGGACGTGACAGCGAACTGTTTCCGGGGGCCTCAGATGTCTTTGAGTGTGTCTTGGCCCTTGGGGTTCTCCAGCCAGTGTGGAGGCCAGCTGGCTTTGATGCTGGGCCGCTCCTTCAGCAGAGCATAATACGCTCCCAAGTTGGGGTAACGCTCCGCAGACATCCTACAGAGCAGAAACTGCAAAGTCACAAACATGTTACGTCTTAAAAGAACATGCTAAAGTGTTCCCGCTTACCCAAATCTGAAAAGGGTGGCCACAGTCGGAAACACGATCACATCTGCCAGAGAGAAGGTCGGTCCAGCCAGGCAAGTGTTGGAGCCCAGCTAGAGAGAGGTGAAAAATACAACGTTTATTTGAACATCAATAAGTTTTGAGAAGCTGTAACCCTTAGCCTGAAGTGTCCACTTAGGCTGGTTCCACAGCTAAAGAATCCTCATTAGGCTAACACGTTTACAGCCTGCTGCAAAAGCTGTTCTGGATCTTATGCTGCATTCGTGTGCTGCTCGGGTGGTCCAAGTTTCCGAGTTGGAGAAGTCGTTCTTCCAATTCCAGAGTGTGCGCGTGATTTCAGCTCTAAAAGTCTGAATGTTAAAATGTAACCGTTATGAGTTACATTTTAGCAAAACGTTGATTTGCAATACTTGAATTAATAAAAAGTGTGTTGACATTAACAAAGCATATTTTGGCCCTCATGTGATGACGATTCTGACGTCAAGTAGGGAAGTCGGGCACCTTGTTCTTTTCCGAGTTGTTGCTCCGACTTGTTCAGGTGTTCATGTGCGTTTTTCCTACGTACCACATGAATGCAGCATTATCGCTCAATCCTCTCATCATGTCAACGGTATGGGGGGTTATTTTTTATACAACTCTCCTATTAGAATTATATTAAGCCTGAAGTTCTGTATCATGTGGGTGGTCACATTGAGGTGAAGTTACATCTGGCTGTCTGCTCGGTGTCAGCTCGGCCTTGTTTATATCATCTGTGCTTTTATTGGAGTTTTTTTTAATTAAAAAATAAAAGAAATTAAATTTTCTTCGCGGCTTAATGCTTTTACTGAGTGTCCAAGAAATCTATGCACAAGCTTTTTTGATTGAGGGAATTTTAGTAATATGGAGTAACTGTTGTTGTTGATCATGCCCCAGTATGTGTTTTTTTGGTGGTTACAAACCACCAAAATGGGCTCATCCACAAGTAAATAAATTAGCCACTGGTGTTTCCCAAACCCTCACTCCTCTCCAGCACCTTTAGTTCAAATACGGTCACTTCTGGTTCAAGAAAACCAACATGGCAGCAGCCGAATGTCCCATTAGAGGCTTCATATTCTCAGTGACATCACAATGACTTCATCGATTATTTCTACTGTCTTTGGTTTTGACTTTGTTCGCCTGCACACTCGGTACCTTCTGCAGGTAACCCTCCCAGAGCTTCAGCTCAGTGGTTAGAGCCTCCTTGTTTCTCGTCAGGGCAGAGTCATGTCTCTCTCCCTCAGGGACGTACCACTCATAGTAAATGACTGTATCTATAAAAAAAAAACACATTGAGATATTCAGATAAGATAAGGCTAGCAGAAGCACTGGATGTATGATATCATTACAGTGTAGTATTTTTTTACTTTACAATTACAATGATTCAAACAGGAATAAAAAAAAAAAAAACACTGTTGTTGGGGGAACATTTATACACATTTATATCAGAGATGGTTTTATCCTTTATTAAATGTTCCTTTTTCTTTTGTCTTACTGAGTTTGTCGTAGAAGGTGGAACCCTCAAACATGCGTTGGTACATCAGTGCTTGCTCTGTCTGGCTGTCTGGGATCAGCTTGTTGCCCTGGGACTTAAACTGACTCTGCCAGAGACACGAGAGAGAGAGAGAGAGAGAGAGAGAGAGAGAGAGAGAGAAACAAAAACACAAACATTGAAGAATTGTCTGTAAAATGTTTGCAGAATTGATAGTTCTCAATTGTACGCAGGCTCACTCACCTCCAGGTAAAAGCAGGCTGCATAGGATTCATTCACAATGATGTCACCATGTTTGAAGGTGGGAAGCTGGAAAAAAAAAAAAAGTTTTATGAGCAACGAGAGCTGTTCAAGGGTTAACTGCTATTAGTGTTATTGTTCTCATCATGACTTGTCTTAATGTAAATGCTACTGGGAGCTAATTAAGAAAAGCTGCTGAGCCGCATCACACAGGGACTCTTGGGGAAACATTGCCCACTACATGTTCTGTCTAATATACAGAACAAGGCCGTGAGGTACCTTTGTTAAAATGACAGAGTATTCAGAATTTCAAAACCAGTCACGAAATGACAATATTGCAAATTTAGTTAATTTCTAGCATGCTTTGCTTGAGCTACCACAACACAGATTGTATAACTCTGTAGAGAAATGGACATGCACTCTTTCAAAAATCCAGTCGATTAGATTTGATCCTGTTACGCAGTCGAGCACAGAACTGGAGGCACTTGAAGTCTTATGATTTCTTCCGTATGCTGACAGTCAACCAGTAGTTCATAAACTTTAAGTTGTCGTTGTTGTTTGGTCATTGTCGCCCTCTGCTGGGCGCTTGAATGAAAAAGGCTTTAAAATGACTCGAGGCATTGGTTCCCAAACATTTTTTTTCCAAAATTTATCTTTAACATTGGCTGCAAAAGGTACAGAATAGCAGATTCAGTGTGTGACGTCAAACTTTAAAGACAAAAAAACAACTAACAAGCCCCTTTCGTCACGGTATACTGGCTGCTCAGCTGCTGCCCATCATGGTGATATCCATGGTACTTATGTTTTACGTATGTATTTATGTCATTGTGCTGTTTCTATGGATGTACTGACTACCTCTGTTGCAAACCAAATTGCCCCTCGGGGACAATCAAGATTTTCAAATCAAATCAAATCAAATGAAAGGCTGATAGAGAGCGATAGACAGGGCAGGATAAATGTTTGGCTTGTCCTCTGCCTTCTCTAAAAGGGCATCTCGAGCTCCCGTGGCCTCAGCAGAGCCAAGACAATCATTAAAGCCTGTTCCCACCCTGGTCACAAACTGTTCTCTCTCCTGCCTGTAGGAGATACAGGTTTTTAAAGTCACGCGCAAACAGATAGAAAAACTGTGTTTACATGTGGCTGATACATTTGCATTCCTGAATTAATCTAACTATTCTTTAAAGTGCAATCCACTATTTTATGTGCTATACTTTTGATATAGCCTACTTTTATACTATTCATTTCAGATTTTATGAATTGTGTCTGCTGTGTGTTTAACTGTTTTAAAAAAAAAAAATTGTTTTAACTTGTTTGTTGATTGTCTTGCACCCTGTTTCAGACGCAGCACTTTGTACACTGTCAATAAATACTTGTGATTAGATCATATTAAAGAATAAGCTATTAAAAGTGATGCTGCAACATGAAACTTTTGCATTTGTGACGTTTGGTGCGGGTTCATTTTCAGCCTTGTTTATCTTAAAAGTCCTCTCACAAAATGTGCCATGCTTTACTAGCAATAAAAAAAAAAAAAAGACAGTGTGCATTGTTTATTGTCAGCGGGCCCCTCCCCCTGTCAGAACTCCAGACAACCCCTAGGGGGGGGGGGTCCCCACAGTCTATGGTCCCACCCCACTTTTTTTTTTTTTTGGAAATCACGGATTAAAAGAAATATGAAGTCTCCTTTAAAAAAGAGCTGCTTGGTGAACCCGATGAAAGCCGAATGAAAAGACACATCCCTCTGATTCGTCTTCAGCCTTCAGAGACAGCTGAGAAGCAAAACATTTTTGCAGGAAGCTGCAACACTTTTAAATGTCTGACTTTTAAAATCGACTCTGGAATATTCTTACAACCACAGCACACAGATCAGGGTGTAATGTTTCAACTGTGGGGCTGCAGCAGGTTGAGGTTGATTTACGACACTTTACCACAATGCTGTTCACGTCAAGGCTGTTTGTTAGTCTAAAGTTTCATATTCAGCAGGTTAAAGAGGGCTACTTCCTACCTGTCCCCTTGGATTTAAATCTAACACTTCTTGGGACTTATGCTCATTTTTCTCAAAGGAGAGCAGTTTCTGGTTGTATCCCTGCAGGTCCTTCTCCTCCAGAGCGATCATCACCCTCCAGCAGGGAGGAGAGCCGGAGCCCCACAGCAGAGTCATGTCCTGGGCCATGGTTTTGGGATTTTGGAGCCTGAAACGTCACCGTCACGGACACTGCCACCAGATAGACTGACTCGACCTGAATAAAATGGATTTGATGTCGCTCGTTGCAAAACTTCATGGAGATATCAAAGTACATCAAAAGCGCATATTGCCATCTATTGGTCGGGAGTATCTATTACAGCTTTATCAAGTAATGCCTTAACATCTAACCAAGCATAGACGATTGAACCCTTAAATATTAAATAAACATTTTTTTTTTTTAAATGTAATATCTTTCCAATAAATTTTATATTCAAATCAACCCCCCCCCCTCCCACTACACAATCCCGTTAATGTTGGAGCGTCTTTAGGGATTCTTCAGGGGATTCTTAACCATTGGGGCTGTAAAACTGAGAAAACAAGGTCAATTAGCCACACAAAAAAAAGAATGCACACTGTGGGCGATAATTCTACCATCATACACTCTGCAGTGATCTACCCAAAACGGAAAGCATAAACATTGTTTGGAAAGAAGACCACATCAGCCAAAGAAAAGACCCGTGCCCAGGTTTGAGCCTGCAGCCACATTGATTTAGAATCAAACGGACGACTCATTGCTTTCAGAATAGTGGATTTGTGTGTCTTTATTTGAGTGTGAGCATACTGTTCATATGTACCTTCTCCATGGAGAATGGTAGTCTTCCCAGGGTTTGAGTTCAGTGACCAGATTGTCTGTTTTTCTCCACAGCAGAATCATGTCTCTCCTCTTCAGGGTAAAATCATTGATAGTACACGACTATATCTAAGACAAATGATTAATATGGTGCGATTGTGTTGTATGCGTCTTTACATTTGCTTGCTGTATGTTACAGAGTTTTTCAGTGAGATGGAGACCCTCCATCATGGGTTGATACATCAGTGCTTGCTCCCCCGGGCTGTCATTGGATCAGCTTGTTACTCTGCGACTTGAACTGATTCTTTCAGAAAATAATCTATGATTTGTTACGATAGACTGTATAATAGTCAACATATCCCAAATACAGTTTTATACCTCTAGTTATAAACATGCAGAACATGACTTACTCAGTACTGTTGTCTCCATGTTTGAAGTTAGGGAGTTGGAAGTTCAAAGTTTGGTTGCACTAATGAGTTTTTTTTTAATTATTTGTGGTAACTTTTTGTGGTCATAATGCACATCTTATACTGACCTGTCATCTCGGGTTGACTCCCAAGACTTCGTTGGATTTGTGCTCCCATTTGACAAAAGAAAGATGTTTTTTTTTTCCCCCCCAGAGTGATCATCACATGCCAGCTTGGAGAGGATCAAACACCAACAGCAGACTCATCCACGTATGTGCGGACAGACGCTTTGTTAATCAAACTAAGACACTTAACACTGAACAGCACAGGGAAAGTGTGGCTCCTGTTTCATCTAAAGGTTGGTCAGTATAGACACACACCCATGTTTGTGTTCCTTTGTGAACTTAAAGGCTCAGTGAAAGAAGTAAAGAACAACCACACACACACACACACACACACCCTTCGGTTTCACTCGATGTTTGTTTTATTATTGCAGAATGTGTATACACAGCATTTCAAGTGAAAATGTACTCCACCTCGGTGTCATGTTCAGCTCACCACGTAATATTTACGCAGTGATATTAACCAGTTTGTGTTGACCTAAGAGGGGAGCACATGATTCATATGGGACTTTAAATGATCCACAACCTGTCAAGTTCATACAAAGTACAACATGGTAACAGAGTTCAAACAAAATATGCAGATAACGCTCACCTCTCTCAACACAGAGAAACACATATTTAAGCTCTTTTTAATTGTTTTTATTATTTATTACAATTCACAGAACAGCATCTTTTTTTTTTAACCCCTTCTCTCTTAGACTATAATACAAGTTTCTACAGAAAATACAAAAATAGTACAACACATGAACCTCACCAAACATGCACACTGTACTTCTACAGTATTTAGTACCTGGCAGCTGAAAAGGGCATGTACACATTTTATGCAGAATTCTCTGCATGTCCTTCAAAATAGATAATAATAAAAAAAGTGTTTCCATCTCTTTGTCTTTTTACACTTTACAAAAAGTTCCTCTGAGATTAAAACATCTTTTTTTTTTCTGTGTGTGATTCGAATCAGTTTCAGCTTGAGAAACGATTAATGTCGAGTAAGGTGCAAGATGTCGGAGCTTTGCAAATAAATACTGACAACAATTTTGCCAAAATAACAAAGTCAATGGTATTCAACGATCATATCCATACATGACGGCTGTAAATGTGACATTTGTGAGTGATCTGAGAAGTAGGAGGTGCATAAAGCAAGAGGGAGAGGTGGGATACAGGTACAGCGTTGTCCCTTTTTAAATGAAAGGCACACATCAGAATGTAAACCTTTCACATTCCTACTAAACATCGACACTCGTCACTTGTCAAACATGCTGCTGCAGAAGCAAACATTTGCCTTTTTTACAAAAAGGATCCTTCTTAGTAAGCCTCTTTGTTTGAGGTGACCTCTTGGATACATCAGAGCAGGACGTCAGCAAAAAATGTAACTTCCATTTCAGCCTGTTGATATAACTGAAATTCACAGCTTTAAACAAATGAAAATGGTGAAGTCACAGATGCCGGAAATCACAAGAAAAATCTGTTTTTTGGACTAATGCAACATTTGTGTTCAATAAATGTTAAGATGAATGAAAATGTTTCACCTTATTTCATTTCTGTCCCATTCAACACAGATTCTCTTTCTTTGACGTCTGCTTGGATTTGCATTAAAAAAAAAAGAAAAAAAGAAGAACACTCAAGGCTGCAGCTTCATCAGCCAGACATGACAGGCAAAATAAGCAGCTGGCAAAATTCTAACTGGGGGGTTGTGACTGGTGGAAAAACCCCTCTACAACCCGTGGCGAAAGCAGAAGGCTGTCAGAGATGTCCCTTTGATGATTGTGGCTATGTTTCCAAGACAACAAGGACAGTCAGGAGGTCGGCTGATCACATTCATGAATCAGGAGAATCAGTAAGTCCTAAAGCAAGAGCTTCCTCTGGGGTCAGACCATTCTTAAGTGTCCGCCTCACTGCAGGAAGAAAGAAAAGGAGAAGTTAGGACATGCTTACTTCCAATGCTTTATGAACTTCCAGACTGACAGATTTAACTAATAATAAAATACATGAATTAAAACACTGTGACCTTAAAATGCTAATCCCAATTTGGCTTTTGGAAAACATATCTGTGAGCACTCTGACGCAGCTTCTTTCAAGACTAACTTTCTATTAATGTCTAATTCTACGTCCAGCGTTTTAAATCATCTAAGGGTTAACTCGGGAGTCTAAATATTGCACATCTATAAAATGTGTGAGACTTTGCTTGTTTTATCAGAGCTCTAGCACTTTGGATTTGACATTTCCCATAATGCAACTGGATGGAGGGGGTTGTGAGGCCTACTCTGCTGTATTTATACAACTCCTTCACAGACATCAATGAGGAGGACTTCTCAAGGTTCGGGGGGGAACTGGACCAGTTAAATATTCTAGCATTTATGTGAGAAGCATTTTTGTGGCTTTGTTGTACATCAACACACAAAATGAAGGAAACCTCCATAGAACTAGTTTGCTCTTTTGATTGGGGACAGAAGTGAGCGTTCAGGTGAAGCATAACTTACATGACTTGCGGTTTGCCCTGGAGCGCCTCCTCTCTCGGGGCTGGGCTCTAGTTCCTGGGCCCTGAGTGGCCGACCTCACTATGCGCTCCATTATTTCGTCGGCAGCGTCGTCTCCGCAGATCTGAGGGTCCTCCGCCGCCGGTGTCCATGCCTGCGCAGTGCGACCTTGAACGCATAGAGCAGAATGGAACCCGGTTTTACACAAAACTGTTTTGATGTTCATTCACTTCGTCTGCGCGACTCTAGTCAAGAACTTTCCGTCACCCTCACCTCCTCGTCCAGGCCGGGATCTTGTTCGTGTTCTAAGTCCTGGGACTCCGCTCGCCTCCTTGTCCCCTCCACTGAGGCTCGTTCTCAGCACTGCTTTCATGTTCTCGTGCTCCGCAGCATCCTCAGACTGGCCCAGACCCTGTGGCTGCTCACTCTCCTGGCTGCCACTAGGGGCCCTGTTGCTGCTGCTAGAGCCATAGGATGGACCACACTGAAGGGAGAGAAGAAGAAAGGAAAAGAGGATAAGAGTTTTTCAGCTTGTGTGTTTTTGTCATGCTTTGTGACACGAACATGCCAACTCACAAGTAGAACAACCAACATGTTTAGATTACAATCCCTCCTCTACCTCATTGACTCATCCATTTAGAGGTTATAATGAGTGAAAAGAAAACTTGAGGTAAAAAGATGCAGTCAGGGATAGTATTTTCATGCACACGCACACACACATATGCAGGCAACCAGCACACAGGTTGATACCTCACTCTCTTCTTCATCATCAGACTACAGGGGGAAGAAAGAGTCAAATTTAAAAGATAGTTCAGAGAAGATGAAAGGAAAAAGGAGTAAAAAAGCTCTAGATGTGGACAAAAAAAAGAAAAGAAAGAAAAGTGTTTGTGTTTCTGATGCTTGGCCCTCACAGGTGCATTGACGTCCATGATCATCTTTCCTCGGGTCTTGTTGCGCTCGCGGTGGTCGGCTCGCTTCTGTTTCTGCTGCAGCACGCGGTCTCGGGTCGTTCGGTACTCCAGCGCAAACTCGCTGAGGATTTTACTGAACCTGTGGACGCTGATCTCTCTCACGCTGTATGCCGGGTGACCAATGTAGAGCAGGAATGAGTGGAACCTGGGGGAGGAAAAAGAGAAATGACAAAACTGAGTGTCCCTAAAAGTCCTTCAGGGACAATATGTAATCAAATGGGTTATTGTAAGATTACAGACTAGACAATAAACACTTGTGGTTTTAGTGAGTAATTACTTCATTCCTCACGGGATGGGGGAATTTTACAGTTCAAGGAGTAGATCTTTTAAATGATTTCCCATGACATACAGTATTACATAATACATATAAACTTAAGCATGATTATAACTTTAATCATGCTACCTGTTGATGATCCTGCGGTGAACTATCTTGAGGATGATGATCCTCTCTGCACAGTCTTTGAGGAAGTCAGACATCTTCTGCTTTAGCTGGGGCTTCATCTCATGCTTTGCAATCACCTTTAGGTGGTCCCATGACGCTTTGCACCTTCGCTCCATTTGACACAGATTCTCCTGAAGCTGGTCGAAATCCACCTAAGAGTAGAGATATAGAAACATATTGAGGTCCAGCGGAGGGTACTACACAAAAAGTGCATCCAAAAAAAAAATGCTGAAAGTAGTGTAAGTAAATATATTTAATCTCTCTGATGGGGATACAACATATACAACAACGTACACAGGAACACAGTGAAATCAGACACTTAAAGATTTTAATATCAAGCTAAATCAACAACCAAAAAAAGCTTTCATTGTTTGACAATATAAGGTCTTACAGTTAAGTTAAGTTAAGTTCTTTTGAAAAAAAAAAAAAAAAAAGACTTGAAGATAACTTCTGATTTTTCTAAAGAAGCTTGATGAGCTCATTAAAAGTCTTCCCTGCATCCATTGTTTGGGAGCCAAATTGACACCCTTATGTTTTTATAGTTAAAGAAGCACATGATGACTTGTTGCCTTTTTATAACACGTGAAAAGTTTTGTCAAGTTTCATTTTTCTCTGATAATAAAGATAATGAAATGAAAGTTGGCATCAATTTTAGTTTCTAAATTTCAGCTGCATCTCTTGTTACATTCCCCCCAGAAAGCAAATCTGATTGACAGGGATCACGAGTTGGTGAACTAACGAAACACTGCACTTGTTACAAGAGGGTACCAAATGAGTGGGCCTCGGGTTTCTTAAAGGTGACAGAAGACCGCTGATTCTATCATGACAGATGAACATTAATTGGAGCCAAAACAAAGAGAAGTGGGAGTCAATGAAAAGAGGGGTAATGGAAGGAGTGACAAATGTTTAAAAAAACAAGAAAAGATGCTTCCGAATTGCAAAGTGCCTACACAATCCTGACAGTAGACAGTCTCTTCTATCCATGCTGTATACTCTTAAGACCTACTGTTCAGTTGGCGCGCATAATAGGCCCATATGTTATTGACACTCCAACTCAGGTGTGATATGCACGATGGCTCAGTAAATAATACCAAACTTCACAAGGCGCGTTATTCGAACAAGCCGCATTCTTTTATTTTCACTCAAAGAAACCCCCACAGAAAGTCAACTGATGGCGTTGACTCGCTGGAGACACAAAACCAAGTGAGCGGGGACCCTTCCACCTCCCTATATAACCTCCCAGCCCAGCTGACCGTCATCAGCCATCAGCTGAGGGGGAACATCACAGGTGCAGCCAATAGCTCCTGACAAGCAAGGAAACCTGTGACCTAAGTTCCTTGGGAATCTATCCTTAAAAAAATTGTGCTTTTAATTTGACCCCTCTTGGAAATGTTTTCTAGTGTGTTGACAAAATGAGTTTTCCATTGGTGAGTGTGGTGCCTACTTTTGCCGATCGGGTGATGGCTCCGATCTCGGAGTAGAGGTCGGTGCTCTGAGGGAAGTTCTCCACCACCACAGAGCAGACGTGATGCAGCAGAGACTGCTTATGGACCGTGTCCTTTACCTCTGGAACCTTCTCCAAATATGTCATCTCAAAGCCTTTTGCCTGGACATAAGGACACACAGAATATAAAAAAAAAAATAAAGAAAAAGCTTTCCTATATATACACTAACATAAGGTGAATCTATCATCACCAAATCACAGTAATCAGTATGTGATGTCATTTTTAATCTACAAATTACAGGCTTAGAAAATCCAAACTCTATATAATTTACTGTCTTTACAATCTTGACAAACTACTGCTGCAAACAAAAGAAGCTTGTCATTAAGTCCCAGTATAATGATGCCACCCTGTTACGGTCATGACTCACATTGGTGCCGTTGAGGAAGTTCCCGATAGAGAGCAGCGTGGAGAGGATGAAGCGCAGAGTTTTGTTCTTCTCCAGCTGCTCCATACCTTCCTTCAGATCCTGCAGCGGCTCCGCAACTTCCTGAGTATACACACACACACACACACACACACACACACACAGCATTAGTGGAGTAAACTATGACTCCTAAACACGTGTTTGATGCGTCTATGGAGCACAGGTGTGTCACGCCACAAATCATCTGCGATTGTTTGAGGTCCTCAGGTTGTTTAAATGTTCTCGCCTCAGTCGGCATTCTCCCTCAAACATACTTCTGATTAAATTGAGCGCGTCTATTTTTGCTGGAGGTTCTCTTATGCGCCGGCATGGTATGTTGGTATTACATTTCCCACTAGCAAACCATCCCGCAGAGTCAAGCCGGGAACAGTACTCTGTCAAACCTGTGTTCGGGAGTTGTGCCTTTCATGGAGAAATTAGAGACAACAACATCCTGCGGCAAGCCGTAAAAAATTCCCAGGACAGAAAGAGAGGGGCTGGAATGTTTTCAATTCTCTGCATTTTTTTTTTACTTTGTTCTTGTCCTCCTGCAGATTCTTTCGCTCGAGTAAAACACGGTGTGCCAAAAGGAGACGAGGTGCTGCTAATAAGGGTGCATATTTGGTTATGTTATGATGTAACTATGTTGATGTTTTGCGGATGTTGTTTGTACTAAAAGGGATGTTGATACTCTGCATAACACACTCAGACTTAAATGCACACCACATATGCTGTGCACATTTACTCAAACCTTCAGAGTTCATTTGGCTTCATATGTTTGTGTCTGTTTCTCCTTTGATAAGATGAAGTTCACTTGCACAGCATGGATTTAAATGTGCTTTTCATAACGGTGATTGATGGTTCTTGTAAAATGAAACTTCCTCTTCTTTTTTTTTTTGTTCGAATTGCCCCATATTATTTTTACACACCTTCTCGGTTGCCTCGTAGTCCATCTTGAAGGCCCAGAGTTGAAGTCTGGCAGAGAGCTCGCTGATGGAGGACAGGGTGAGGAGAAACTGCTCTGCTGAGCCCAGTGGGAGATCGGGGTTTGCCAGCTGGGCCTCCTGGATCCTTTGCTTCTCCTCCTCTGTGGGGATCATCGTCAGGATTTTCTGAGGGTGGGTAAAAAAAAAAGAGGTGGCATGACTAAGAGTTGTTTTGCCAATGATGCCCGTCTTGAAAATGCCTTCAGTACTGTCGAAAACACAGCATCGGGGATTCTTGGCTGAAAAGCGAGTTACTGTTCTCAAGTTCGCTCATCTTGTTTCTGTGTTGGATTTCTTAAGTGGACAGAGCCAGACAATGCAGACAATAATAGCAATCATAGCAATGATATCACATTCATTTGGACCAATGTTCAATTCTAGATCTGGTAAATTATATCTGAACATGAGTGACAGGTAGCCTGTCATATACAACATAAATGAATGGGTCTGGGTCATCGGTATCCCTCACCTCGATGCCCTCCTTGTTGAGCGCATACTCGTCAAAGTTAAGGATCGCCGTCTTTATGGTGCGAGGAGGAGGCAGCACCGTCAGGCCGATGTTTATGGCGTTGCTCCTCTTGGAATCCAACACAATGATCTCCTGGCGCTTGCCGTCTGCTGCTGTTTTCTGCGAGACAAAGAAAGTACAAAACGTGTCAGCGCTTCATCTTGTGTGTCTTTTCTCTCTTGTGTGGTCTGCTTTATGTGCTTGTAAGGATTAGAGGAATCATCACTCAGGTTTCATGGACTGCAGCTGTGAGAACTAGATGGTTAGAAGAATCACAGTGTCTATACAGACTATGGGCCCTATTTGGACGGCGTTAAACGCTTGGCAAAGTGATTTGGGGGGGGTGAAAATTACAACTGTGTCAGGTGGAAAATGGGAAAGACAACAGCGTGTGTGTCAAGATGCTTGGTGTCGGGTGTACGATCAGGCCAAATGTGTTTATATCTATATGTGATCAAATGACCTCATCAGCGCTTGAGGCCAGCATAGGCTATTAAAGGAAGGAGGTTGTTTGATGTCATCAAATAAAAGTGAAAGAGGATAGGTGCTAAGATCTGGTTACTGGACACTCACAACATGGAGCTTAAGACAAACACAACATTGCAACACTTTGTATTTGCAGCACCATGGAGCATGTCACAGCATAAACTCTAACATGTTCCATGTGTAAGAATAACGTTTTAGTGTTCTTTTAATCATGTTTTGTAGTTATTTAAGTCTTTCCACAGCCACTCTGTTAAATATGTATACAAACTTGAAGATTGTGTCTCTATTTACTAAAGTCTAGAAGTGAACAATGTAGGTAAATACATGATTCTGACCGGATAAAACCTTAAAAACTAGTTAAGACTAATGGTTGCATAACATGAGTTGAAATGATACCAACATACCAAATTGCTCCAACCATGTGGGTGAAAGCTTCAGTGAAATTGCTTTGAAACTATTTTATAACACCTTAACATATTTAGCATTCTGATGGATTTTTCCCTAACACTTAAAGGAGGGACCAAAGAAGGGTCAGCCAATGCAATAACAAAGCAATCTCATTCTGGCTTCAGTGTTCAGGTGGTCCTCGACACCTCCGATTATCTCATTACCTGACAGCTTTGCTTGAGCGTTTGCGATGCTTTATCTGAAGACCACCGTCACACTGACACATAACGTGCAGACCATGAAGCCCTCCCTCGCTGAGTTACTTACTGGTTTCCGTCTGTAATGGAAGATGTGGTTGAATGCCGGGGCTCAGGAGTTCAAAGCGTGAGGAGCCTGGTTTCAGCTCCCTTTCTTACTTGACCAGACTTTTCTTATTTAGAGGCTTTGCGAGGGATTTCAGTAACTTTCATGTTTGATCAGGATCAGAACACGTGTGACCTCACTTAACCCCTTATACATCAACTTAAGAGTGATGCATATAGGGATAACTGAACCCTGGGCTGTGTGTCTTGAAAATTAAAGTAGTTTGTGTTTTTGTAAGAGCCAATCAGGTACATCAAATGTCACAAAGACTAAACAGAAAGTACACAACTCCGGCCGAGCTTGTGCAGTTTACACAAAGAGCTCATACTGCTTTAAACATGTTACAAACATTAAGTGGTGGATGAGGAATTTCATACATAAACCTCTCTGAAACCTCTGGACTGTTTACCTTTGTGACTGGCATTTCCTTTGATTTTGACTCAAACAGGTGTTCCAGTTTCGCCGTGTCCACCTTTACTGGTTCCAGTTTGGACCAAAGTGAGTCCCCACTCCGCTTGTAGTCCCTATACTGAGAGTCTGTTGGACGCACCTGAAAACACACAGAACGAGACATGAATGTACTGTATTTGGTAGAGGCAGTGTAACACATTTCAAAATGTAAAAAAAAATAATAATAATAACAGCTACAAGAACATTTCAAGTTAGGAGTTGTGCTTCTCATCATGACTCCTTAATGTTAACTGGCCACTGGAAATGTGCCGTCTCTTTAAACTTTATTTCTGAGAAACAAAAAAGCAATAGTGTGACTTAATTCCTCCCACAGAGAAAAGGTGAAAGCCTGTTTGCTTTGCCAGCCAAATCTTATGCTTTATAAAGTACATTTAGTCATTTGATAATGAAGATCGAGAATTCAAAGAAGACATGTGACACTGATTTGAAACAGTTATGATTGTTTCTTTAGTCTATAAAGCCTGAGTTGTACCTGACTGTATGTAAATGGTCGCTGTATCCTCACTCACCTCGCTCCAGAAAAGCCTGATTGTCTTCTTCTTCTTGTTAAACAGGGGTGGCTCAGGGGGTGGAGGCACCGGAATTTGGGAATTAAGTGAGGGCGGAGGAGGCGGTCTCATAATTCCTATCATGGGGGGAGGTGGGGGGCAGCACCCCAACATGGGCGGGGGTGGAGGGAAGCGCGGGAGGCAGGGTGGAGGAGGCGGCGGGGCGGGAGGTCACCACATCCGCCCATCAAAACAGCATCCAGAATGTCCTTGTCATCGTCCTCCGTCAGGTCGGTGAAGTTGATGTCCCCGATGCGTAACTCTCGAGGGCTGGCCAGGAGCTGGTCCCAGATCGTGTCTGATTCCTTTTTGGGTGGGGGCGGCGGCGGCGGCGGCTCGTTGGCCGGGACATCCAAGTGAGGGGAGTGCGGGGAATTCAGGTCCTTGATCAGGTCTCCAAACCGCTCAGCGAAGTGTCGGATGGTCCCGCGTTGCTCCGCTGTGTCGGCGCCGTTGTTGCCCTCCTGCACAGCACCTGGCTGTCCTTCAGCATCCTCCAGGGTGTCTTTGCCCTCCCCCTCTCCTTTCTCTTTCTCCTTCTCCTTCTCTGCATCCTCTTCCTCATCCTCCTCATCGCTGGGCTTCTTGTTCTGAGAGTAGAGCATATCCAGCATGAAGAGCTTGCTGTTGAGGAGTTTGCTACTGTGCTCATTCACGTCTGCCTCCTTAAGGCCTGAAAAGGAACAGAGAGGATTTTAAGTGACAGTACACTCATGTATGCAAATGAAAGAACCCCACTGTATCAGCTCAAACACATTTACTATACAGTGAATTGTGAAAAACTGAGCCAAGTTAAAGCACCAATCATTAATGGGAATAATCAGACAGGGGGAACTCACTAACAGGACATGTAGAGATGAAAAGAAGTGGGCTTTTTGGTGTGCAGTCTTCTAATAGAGGCTGTTTAGTTGTTGCTTTAGGATCTGCTATTGGCGTTTCTTGTCCTCCAAGACTGTAGCTTTAATGATCCTTCTCCTGGCTGCATACATGCAAATATACTCCAGGTTTTTTCATTTGTTCCTTCATATGCTACTCTGTGCTGTATCACACCTAATAAAATAAAAAGTTATTTTACCGATCAACTTGCCTGATACCCAGGTAAGACAGTGTGGTTAGCAAGTCAGTTTCTCTGTGAGCCACAGAGACCAACTTTAACCAATCACAGCCCTCTCTGAGTAGATCTGAAAATATGTGTACTGTATCTACTATAAGCTACAAATTCTAGTTTTGCCCTTATGTTAAGGTTCCTTTATTCAACATTTTTGTCACTTTTTCTTAATTGTTATTTATAAGCCGAAAACTTGGAGATCTCGAACTTAATTTGAAGTTGATGCCACAAGTTTTTGACCTTGGCTAATTTGCTCTCTCAAACCCACCGTCAACATTTGGAGACACACATAAACCTGATGTTGATTTTGACCTAAAGTTAGCGTTTCGACATCTGCCGATGAATCAACGAAATGCATTGTGTTGCGTCTGTGTCTTCAGACGTTCACGGGCAGCTGAATAAACACACCCATGAACGTGAAAAGTTTAAATTCCGTGCTAAACCACCCACCATTGTCGTTGCTGCCCCTCTCCTCTCTCTCCAAAGTGCTGCTGGCGGAGGAGATGCTGGAGGCCGAGCAGTTGTCTTTCTCATTCACCTCCTCATTCTGTCGCTCCTTGTCGCTGAGGATGCCACTGTCCTCCTCCTCCGCCTCCTCTGTCTCCTTCTCCTTTTCCTGCTCACACACCTCACTTTCCTCCTCCTTTTCTGCCACTGCTTCTTGCTGAACCTCCTCCTCCTCTTCCTCCCGTACTTCCGCCGCCGCCTCCTCCTCCTCCTGCTCTTCTTTCTCTTTCTGTTCTTCTTCCTCTGCAGCCTCTGAGGCTTCTTTTTCCTCTATTTCTGCGCTGGCACAAGAGTCATCGACCTCTCCTGTAACAAAGTAAACAGTGTTCTTTAACTTTTTTTAAATAATGGTTTACAATGAATAGCTCTTAGCACTTCAAACTGCTGAAATCATTCACACAGAAACACTAAGTAGGTTTAGGATTTGTCTCTAAAGAAATACTGTTTAAAACACACAACATGGCTGTCTTTGATTTTAAAGGCCCCTCTGTTTAGGCTTCACGTGGGACACCCCTGTATCAACACACACTCACACACACACTCTTACAAGAAAAACAAATACACACACATGTGTACTTAAATAAAGAAATATGGCAGGTACAGAAAGGCCGGCTGTTGTGGAATCAGGATATGAACAGGAAATGAAGAATTAAGTTCCTGTTTACATCAAAACATACTAATGTCCACGCTTCTAACATGTAGGTCACCAGTACAGTCGGTGCAGTGATGCAGGCGGGGTTACAATAACACGACACTGTGACGCCTCACACACGCCTGCACCTCAGCTCACGGCTGCACATGCATTCAGCACCAAAACAAGCTTGTTTTCTTACGCAAGATGTTTTGGAATAAGTCTCTCAAAAAGGTCTTTCAAAAATCCATTTGACCTTTCAACCCATATCCTCTGTGTGTGTGTGTGTGTGTGTGTGTGTGTGTGTGTGTGTGTGTGTGTGTGTGTGTGTGTGTGTGTGTGTGTGTGTGTGTGTTTGTTTCTGTCCCCTCGACTGGTGGCGGCCCCCTCCTCTCTTCAGTATTTTCCACAATTTGCCTCAACCTCTGCTTTCACTCCAGCCTGCATGCTAATTCAAACTGCAGGCTGCAAACAATTCAGGGTTAATATTGATGGCTTTGGAGTGCGGTGGCAGTTTAACCAAGTTACCTCATGGTCTTAATTATACTTTCCACAAAATTCAAAGTTCTTTCAAATGCAACCTTAACCAGTAATTAAATTATCGAAACAACTGGAGGAGTGATCTTAATATTTAACGATTATGTTTAGTTCACTGCGTTTCGGTCTAAATCTTGTCGTCCAAAAATGCTGTTAGTAACTCACAGACCACGAGAGACGGTACGTAATTGGTGTTTCTCGTGTTGGATTGTGACAGCTACTTGATCATTCAGTATTCTCAGGGGTCCTACCAGTCTCAGAGGGCGGGGAGGCTGTGGCGGGGGTCTCTTGATCAAGGTCAGCTTCTGTGTCCTCCTGGGAGACGAAAGAGGACGGGCTGCTGCTGCGGGATGACGAAGGCCAGGATTCCGAGGGTTCAAAGTTCAGGTTGAGGTCAGGGCGAGTCCTTGACGCCCGTGTGCGCTCGCACTCTTCAGCTGCGAGACGCTCGACGTTCTTATACCTGAAGGAGAGAGGCAGAAACTGGGGGTTATGCAATGCTTCCATCAGTCTCAAAATTAAACATGAGCGATCACAAACTTCAACATGATAGATCTTCAGATGTACCTAAAAATCTCTCTTTAGTTTTTTCTCCTCCGCAGCTGCTATCAGACTTTTTCACACCACAAGCCCTCCTCACTCCTCTAAACCAGCATATCAAACGCCCGCAAAGCATTCATCCTTCATTTCCATCCTGCCCTCCTCTCCTGTCTCCCAACGCTTAGTCCTTAGCAGCAGTCCAAAAATGAGACCAGAGGGAGTTAGAAGAAGAAGAGAAGGAATAAACTTTACCGCTCAACCTGTCGGGCCGGGAAAAGAGATTTAGGGCACTGTTTCAACCCTCTCTCTCTCTCTCTCTCTCTCTCTCTTTCTCTCGCTCTCTTTCTTTGACCCCTCCTCTTTCCCACCGTGCCATGAATGTGTGGAGCTTCTGTTCAGACTTCATTAGCATCAGACCACTTCAGAAGAAACTCAAGAAACTGGATACCAGTGTTTATGTGTACGTGTGTGTGTTTGTGTGTATTTGCATGAGTTAAGGAAAATGGAGCAGATGAGCTGACTGTGTATAATTGTTTTTTTTTTTTTAAGTAGGTCCAAAACCTTGAATGTCCTTTATGTCCTTTCACACTTTGAAATGAAATGAATTGAGTGATGGTTTGCAAAACATTTACATATTCCCGACTATCTATTATATTATGAGTTAATATAACTATTTCTCTGAGCACTGTTCATGTCAGTGAAGCATAACCAGGCTGTTTACTGTCTTTAATGCTGTACTCAATACATCTCTGCATGATCAAATATTAACATAATAAAAACAATTCATGAGTTATCTGTTAACACTAAGTGTGGAGTGATATGATAAATACCATGGATGGTTGTGAAATTATATTATTTATTTATTATTTCTGAACCAGAAATTAGACAAATATGAAAATATTTTTGTATGAAATGAATTTACCTAGTAAAACTGAGATGTTAGCATGGTAACATCGGCAACTAGCAACACAAATGACTTGATTGTCATTAGTTCTGAGGTCATTTGCTCAAAAACCAAAGTTACAGGTGGGAAGTTACCAGGCTTTGACAATCTTAAATATTTTCGACATGCTTTGGGAAAATCATGTTCTCCAACATTTGTAGTCACCCCATTAAAAATCTATTTTGGACTCAGTTGTCTGTCACTATGGTAATAATGTTTTTAATAAGGAGTGTCTCTTTACAGACAGATTTGTCTCTTAGGGAGGTGAGTGGATACATCTCCCACCTTGTTCACTCAGCAGCTCATCTCTCTCTTTGGCTTTTTGTCCACCTATGTCTGTACTCTGCTTTTTTTCCTCCTTCTGTTATTGACTCAAAATGTCCGAAGTCTCAGTCCATCCATCCATTCTCTTCCGCTTATCTAAGGACCGGTCGCGGTGGCAGCATGCTAAGTAATCAACCAAGGCTTCCCTCCCCCAGCAACGATCTCCTCCTGGGGGATTCCAAGGCGTTCCCAGCGAACTCCGGGTCTCCTCCCAGTTGGGTGAGCCCAAAAAACCTCCAAAGCGTGTGTTTCTGTTTTTGCTGCTTCATAGGGGCTTTGTTGAACCGCTCTTAGTCTCAGTAAAAAGACGCATCTTTGTCCTTAGTCTGTCTCTCTCTATTTCCTTTCTCTCTATTTCATGGACGCCTCTTCTCATTATATCAACAGTGTTTTAAATGGAGGGTGAAAGAGTTTGGATCCTATAGAAAAACAACAGGACTTGGCACAGCATATGAAGTGACAATGGAGGAAAACATGAAGAGGGGGAAGGGGACAGAGACGGATCCAAGACACAGAACAAAGAGCTTGAGATCCTCATATGTCAGAAACTGTGTTTTAAAAATTCAGTTTCCTCATTAGTATACATCTCTATATGTTGAGCTACATTCAGAATAATCTGAATAAAGATACTAATGGAGCCAATATAATGCAACTAATCTGTCCTAAATCTGATTGTGACCTCATACCCTCCCAAGTAGTTTTGGGGTTTCCTGGGATTTCCTTTTGCATACTAAGACACATGTATTCGTCTCCTTTAAGTACATGTGCTCACGTTTAAAGTAATCTTAATGTTCAAGATGTGCACATGCATTCACAGAGAAAAGCTTGAAGAATCTTTGGACTGATTTTCTCACAGCATGCCGCCTAACAATCAAACCCTTGGCAGAGTGCAGCATCTTAAGAACTGCTCCTTATGGAAGGAGAAAACAGGCAGAAAGAGAGAGAGAGAGAGAGAGAGAGAGAGAGAGAGAGGGGAGGGAGGAAAGAATATGGTTTCAGTCTCCCTGCAGCCTTTGGCAGCAAAGGGCAACTTTTTAACCTGAAAACAATTACGCTATTACCGAGCTTCCCAAACCACAGTCTGAAACGTATTCCCCTGCAGGTTCCACTGTTCTCTGAGTGTGTTGTTTTAATTTAGTGCACACACTTACCTCTCCTCGCGAGCATGCCTCGCCTCCTCCATTTTATCCACAAAGTCGCGGCTGTGGGAGAAAACACAAACAGAGAATTTTAAACAAAAACAGAGAAATACCAGAAACAACGATGATGTCTTCAAACCGGCCAGTGTGAATAAGACTTCATTCAAACAGGCAAAAAAAAATTTGTTTATGAAGTGTCCTTTATTAATACAGTTATTATCATTATTTCACTACATGTACATAAGACATTTTCAATTTAAACTTGTTCACTTAGTTTACTCCCATATTGAATGTCATTTTTGTTTATAAAAATGAATGCAGATTTTATTCTCCTTTACCTGACTGTATTCAAATGTTGTTAAGAGTTGTATGTAATCATGTTATTAAATATAATTTCAA